AGATCATTTGTTTATTTGGACGACAATATGTTCAGGAATTTGTTTAAAGCTCTAGTTCGACCGCACCTAGAGAACGCGGCAAGTATTTGGTCCCCACACAGAATTACGGACATAGAACGGATAGAAAACGTCCAGAGGAGATCGACAAAACTACTACCGGGATTTAAAACTTTAAGCTACAATGAGAGGCTAAGCCGGTTGAATCTCCCAACCTTGATATACAGGCGTCTACGTGGAGATATGATAAACGTGTTTAAGTTCATGAATGGGATATTTGATCCAAAGCTGGTGAAGGGAATGTTCGACCCTGCAGCGCAAGGAAAAACTCGTGGACATAGTAAAAGATCATTTAAAAAAAAAACATTGTCATTTGAATGTCAGAAAACATTATTTTACTCAAAGAATAATTGATACTTGGAAAAGTCTCCCTCAATGGGTAATTTCATCACTTTACGTTCATGATTTTGAAAAACACCTAGACGATTTCTGGAAAGATATTGAACTGAAGTACGATCATACAGCGTCTTATATCTAGTCTAATATTATGTTTATATTAATAATACATTGTATTGATGTGAATATAGAGGCAGAAATGCCTGTGTTCACTATTATCCCATTAAATTAAATTTCTTTATCATATTTAATAGCATCGTACATATCAACAATATTCAATGGGAGTCACTGGTGAGGAACCTGCACAAGGTGAAATGTCCATGTCACCAAGGACAGTATCGATATGACAAGTTCACAAATAGACAGAGACGTTTATCAGCATATTTCTTATTTAGATGGAAGTTTAGACAAGGTTGCATTTCAACAAAAGCTTAAATCAATTTACAGCAATAGCGTAGAGAAGTTGATACACACGCGATCATCGTTGTATGATATCGCATTGAAGACAAAAGTGAAACACCGCAAGGTTCTCTTGTAAAACGAACTAATTCTGGAAATTCGTCAGCAAGTGAAAACCTTTTGGAAGATATCTATTTATTGTTTCATTATATTGGTGGAGATATTGAGGTTGGAGATATAAAAGCTGTACTCAGGTATAAGGATCATATACAGTCAATATGTGACTCGCCCGCCCCAAGTGTTACGCATACGGTCTCATCGAGTGGGACGGGTGAGAATATAGATAACCGGTTAGTGCTGCTATTAGCAATGCGTATCGATATTTTGGATCGAGTCGAGTACATAGTGTATCAAAGCAAATGTGAAATGAAGGCTGAAATTCGAAACTTAAGAGATGAAATAAAAGTTAAAAACTGTAATTGAGGATATGAAAAATGCACGAAGGAACAAAAATATCAAAGTACCAGAAGTACTGAAGGCCGATACATGTATACATAAAGAGGAATTCAAAAAGGTGTTCACAGAGAAATCGTTGAATTATAACAGAAACACAAAAGTAAGCGATGTTATTATTGACACTGCTCCAAAACCAGCATATGCCGATATGGCTAAATCTACAACACAATCAAAATCACAACGTAGGCGGGAAGCGCCCCAAAACGAAATTTCCGAAAGACAATAAACACCATGAAACAAAGGGAGACAAACACAAGGACAATAACAGTAACACTAAATCTACTTATGTGTTTACAGGTGTAAATCGTCGACAAAGGACCAAACGTATATTAATGTCGCTGGTGGTTCCTACGCTGAGGTTGCCCAGTCCATTATGTCTCACGTGTTAGAGCGTACTGTCAAAATCACATATGTTCGTATCTTAGAATTTTGAAATTCGGACAATCCAAAACAGAATAAACGTGGTAGTGTAGTAGGGTACAATTTTGTAAATTGGCTTTGTAAGGTATTTTTAATATAAGTGACCAAGTTGCGGTCCAATGTTGTGTGACGTAATTGTAGGTCTTATTTTAAAATGTATTGTAAACCGGCTCTGTGATATGTCAAAGGGCAAATCTATTTTTATCGGACTGCCCAGTGGTCATCGCGCAAAGCGCGCGGTAAATTCACACTCCCGTGGACTTTGAATGATGACGGTTGGGTTTTATTGAGAGAGGCCCTTTGTCGTCCTTTGTTGTTTGGAAATTATAGTAAGTACCGGTCATGTTGTATATTGAATGTATTGTAAATAAGTAACTTTTTACAATTATTATAATTGCATCCTGATCGAAAGATCGATGTCGAATTATATATTTAATAGGCTCTGTTAAATTGTGAGTGAATCGATCTTTGGTGATTTGAATTTCATGTTGTTTGGAGTTCATGGTTATCTTTTACATTATTCAGAGGAGGTGTGTTGAAATATATTTTTGATCATTATAATTGTTTCTTAATTCTCTTGAAAGTTAACTATTTGTTATCTTTGCTAATTATTTAACATAATTTGTAGATCCGCTGTTTCGTTCTGTGGCCAGCTAAACCGTCATCCGCGGGTTGTGTCGCTTAAGCCCTCTTCCCTTTTTGAAGAGGTAGGTTGTTGCCTTAATGTATTGTGTATCGTAACTTATAACGTATGAGTTTCGGCTCTGTAATGTATGATAGTGACTCGGTTATTCAGTATTTTACTTTAGTAGTATTTGTATAGTGAAGCGTGTTTGTGCTGAGTGCGTTAACCGGTCGTGTTCGATCTGGACGAGTTCATAACTTGTTCAGGTAGTGTGAGTTTGAGAATTGGTTTTAATGTATTGTTATATTGTTGTTTTAGGGTTTAATTGGGAATAAACCATTTGGTAATGAACTGCCGTCTTTGTGGTGCTCGTACATTGCGACGCGGAGCAGAACAACTGCTACAATAGAACAGAACTACCCTAGAGTAATACAGAACTCGTTCTGGCCTTCAGAAGTATTAGTTCGAGACTGGATGGACCGCCCAGAAAGACGAGACAAACATAGCACTGTGCCGAGATGGGAGAAGAACCAAGAACGGGAACGCAACTACGGCAACAAAACAGGAGGATTCGACAGGGCTGATAACGCTTCTGACGGGGATGGTTACAGGACAGACAAATACAGAGACTTTTCACAAAGAAAAACGTCATGAGGTGAGTAGTTGGTATGACTATGACAGTGATGTATATTAGAAAGTGCAGAGAAATTGTTGTGTCTTGTATTATTTTCATTCTATATTTCACAAGAATGAAATTACAATGCTGGAATATTGTGTCATGTTTGGCACCCCGTATCTGTGTGATACGCTACGTAATATTGATGTCAGTTTTGTTCTGAACACTGGCGTATTGCCGGAACATTCTCGCTACTATTGATACTGATTTTAAAGCATTTGGACGAGTGGCTATGCTGTGGCGTAAAGGTACTTAAAGATGGTAATGACCGAATAATTAGCATCTGTATTGATACGAAAAACACTAGCATGTATGTTATTGGTGTTCTCATGCCATCTACCAATTTACCTTTTCATGAGTTTTTTTTAACACAGTCCAATGTCTGAGCGATTTGTATGACAAATACATTGAATCAGGTTCTGTTGTTATCATGGGTGATTCTAATGCTCATTTGTCAAAGCAATTGGTGTCAAAAATCACAATGAAGCCAATGAGAGAGGACGTATTATAGAGCAATTCGTACAAGATCGCTACTTGATATTTGCTTACTCCCAAAGCTTGTCACGTGGTTCAAATTATACATACATCTCTAGCGATAGTAAGCATGTCTCTATGATAGATCACATACTCACAGAAAAATAGACCTTGTAGATTCCTGTCGTGTATGTAATGACCATTCCCTTAATATATCCGACCATCGCCCGATACAGCTTACACTACAAATGGTATGTCATAAGCGTGATTATACGTTGCCGGACACGGCTATTAACTGGAAAAAAGTAACGTAAGAGCACATAAGCAGCTACCAGCAGCGATTAGATATGCTTTTAGAACAGAATCAAAATCCGTATGATATATACCGAGCTTGCTTATATAGTGAATGCCGCTGCTAAATTTTCTTTCCCTTGAAAACGTTACATACATTACTTGAAACCTTATTGGAATCATAATAATATGAAATCCATACATTCTGATACGAGACGTCTACGGTCTGTATGGATATATTAGATGAAGGTCGTTCACGCGGGCATGCTAACGAGGCGTACAGCATTAACAAGAATATAAAGAGATTATTTCGCAAAGAGTTAAATTTCGCTCGCGAACAGTACGAAAGGGAGCAGTTTGAGAAACTAGAAACTCTAGCCGTAAGTGTAAAACGAAATATAAATAAACAATCTTCATCGTGTGAATTGTCAGTAAATGGAAAGATTATTCGTGACCCTGAGCTTCTGAGGGATGCATGGTATGGGCATTTTCGTGATTTATTAAGTCCCGTTAACGAACCGCATTTTGACGACGAATTCTAAAATCACACTGAACACTTAGTCGATGGTATACATATACTGATAGTTTTAACAATACTGGTGGTATTTGTGACGATCACATCACAGTCCCCGAGGTTAAACATGCTATTAAAAATATGAGCAGTGGTAAAGCCGGTGAGCATGACGGAATTGTGCTAGTTCCAATTGTCTTAACACAATTGTTACATGTTTTAATGATATAATAGATAGGGCGTCATATCCTGATCATTTTAAACTTGGTGTATTAATTGCTCATTTGAAGGGTGGAAAACGTGACAGAACGTTAATGGACAACTATAGGGATACAACCCTCGTCATAGGGGAGACAACTGTAACACACCAAATGTTCGGAACTCATCTTCATTGACACAATATTCGACGCTTACATCATATTTTTTTTAAAAAAAGAAAATCAAAGAATGATATTTTTGTACCTCTTTATTTAATAATACATGGTAATATGAAGTACTGTTGGGTTGAAGTAGTATCTACGTGCCACCATCTTACCTCCGGAACCGGAAAAGGGATTACCTAAAATGTGTGGGGTTTTTGTTTTGTTTTTATATTAATGATATAGGGTAACTGCCAAATGCAACGTTTACGTTGTAAGCACATTGTTTTGGAATGATAATATTTGAGTTGTGTCTGAACTATAAAAACGTATGGTGTACGGGGACGCTCACTACAAAGTAACTTCGCTTAATTTCTACCTCAAGCGAACATAGACTCATCCAAACAAGATGTCTGCCCCCATGGAGAAGGTGTGTGTCCCAGGTTTGTTTTGTTTCTTTTGCTAAACATGATACTACAATGTCATTGTTTATTTTTGTTGACTGTATAAATATAAATCAAATTTGATTTCAGTTGTCACATACGTAGTACTTCAGGTTATCTGGTATTTAACACCGATTTAAAATCCACAGTCCAGAAGTTAAGTTAGCAATATGTACAAGTAAGATATTTTTGTTAATTACTTTCATCTGCCCACTATATAGATACCCACATCAAGAAGAGGAAGCACGTTTAATAAATGCGCAGACTATGGTTTAATTTGACAAGTTTTTAAATTAACGACTTAAGTAAAGCTGTACGGCATATGCGTTGTCATGTTTTGTTTTCTGACTACATATATATGTAAAACTGTCTTGTTGAATCGAAGCCCGTTTTGATAATTGCAAGTTTGTTCTGATTTAGGCTACCAGGCCTAGGTAAGTCAGAAATATTTCATTCATTGTGTTGCCAAACAGTTTGTCGGTATATACAAAGCGACAGACTCCAGATCCTGATCACAAGAACAAACTGATATAAAAAGTGGATAAACCTCAGTATAATTCAAACTTAGACATGGATAGCAATGACACAACAGGCAGGATATAAATATTAGTACAAAGACACAGGGGCCTGAAAATGAGTTTTAGTCATGGTGAATATGGACCTTTCTAGTCTGTTATTACTAACTATTTACAATGTGATATGAAATAGGCACTGCCTGGAAGGGAGCACAAGTTGATCAACTAATTCACATTTTCTTCTTCTTCTAGATTCTATTGTTTCATCCTAATCAGGTTATGGTTGGATGGTGCAGTGGTAGCACTTGTCTTTCACCTTGCTGTCTAGGGTTTGATTCGCTGGATGGATAGATTGTCTTCCCTTCCTCCCACAGTAAAACCCTCGCGTGCTTACATCAGGAATGATCAGTATATGGTTGAAATGAATAAGATTTCTATATAAATATAACCTGTGTACTTATGATCATACAACTTGAAGACAGACAAATGAAAGACTTGAAAAGTATAAAACTGGGAGAGAGATAGAGAGAGAGATGCAGGGAGAGTACACAAAAGGAAGGGATGGGGATTGGCTAGTAGCAGTGGTATTGGTATATTGTGCTGCTAATGCACGATGACCATGTCAGAGACTTGGAATAAAAAAACTGACATAAAATTTCAACTATATGAAGTATGCTGTATTAATGCATATTGTAAGTTTAAATATTACTATTTATAAAAATATTACATACATTAATCTGTAATATTTATTGATTTTTCCAATGTTTGAATGATACACAAATTTTTGTGCATATCTCCCCTTTACAAACAAGTTTAGTTGGAATATCTAGAGTAATAAATTAATGTTTAAGGTGACTTGGTTTGTTTTATATGCAGTATACAGGTAACCTGATTATTGATTTTATCTTGATGAAATAGCAGACTTAACCTTTCAAATAAATTAATTAATTAAGTCAATTTAATACATGTATATTGGAATGTTGTAATTACTGATCTCACCAAAAACGGAGTTTGTTTATTTGATATAAAGGGTATGAATAAAGCCTCTAACAACATATCTAGATTTTGGAATTGATCACATTTCCAAAATAAATGTACATTAGTTTCCATTACAGAGTTGCAGAGAGGAATATATTTTAGATTTTCTTGAAACAGGAATGAGTTTGAAGTTCCAGCCAAACTTTCATTTAAACTTGATCCTATGGGCAGCTTGTTGGTGTTAACTTACCACACAATACCAAAACATGCTGGCTGTCATAATCATTTTCACAAAAACTATAAACAGGCAACCAACCAAAATATCTAATCCTGTGATCAATTTTAGCAGACTAAGACATTTCCTGGTCTGTTCAGGAGGTTGTTACATATTTCAGTGTGTAAGATCAATGACCTGTTAAAATGACACCCTTAATGATAGAGGCAGAGGTTGTCATTTTGACTGAATGTTAGATGTGGTCACAAAATATTATGACATCCTTCTAACATTTTAGCTGCAATGATTTGACTCTAAATTCTGTTGCTTATACTTCATTCTAAATATGTAATCCATTTAGTATTCCAGTGTTTTATATTACATCGTATGTGTATCTGACCTTAATCCTATGTGAACTTAATACTATTTAGTACTGTTTAATACTATTTAGTACTGTTTAATACTATTTAGTACTGTTTAATACTATTTTTTGTTTCAGTCTTATACATGTGTATGATTCAAACATAAAATAAATATCAACTTTTGTTTAATCAGTTTTCAGTCTGACGTTTGTTTCCTGATAAAAATAATAATTTCAGTGGCTTGTGAATTTTAACATCTTTGTTTTATTTGCAGGTCAAAGAATCTGTAGACATGATGAGAAGGTGGTGGCTGGAAATGGTACCTACACCCGAGCTGGCTTTGTTTATTCTAGTCTGGCTGGATATTTAACAACAAAATCTGATGATGATCAGGTACATCTTCATAATATCATTAATTCTCATAGTTTTTTTGGTCATCTGACCTGTAGGGTCAGTATGACCTATAGCCATTTTGTTTAATCAGTCATTTGTGCACTTTCCACTGTGTTGTGCTTTTTTATTTTCAAGTCAGTCCAAAATCCAATATAGCCACCAACTTGAAAAACATACTTCACTTCATTTTGAGTCCAACTACTGTGCTGAAAATTGTTGGGGATATAAGGTAAGATTGAGCTGAAACTGCTCTGAAATAATCCTGAGATGGTCCTGACTATATACGGTTATTTTTAATGTAGGTACGAAACCCATTTAGCCACCATTACTGAAAACTTTAAAAACACATTTTAAAACTTCTTCTCAATTTCCTCTGGTGCCATGGAGCTAAAAATTCATAGGGATATTGAAGAATGAAAGCCAACAAAATGTTGTTATTTTGTTGGCCGTAGTGGAAAGTTCAATATGGCAGCCATGCATGGTGGCTATTTTGTAACATGATTAGGTAATTATGGTTTCTCTGAATGATACCTATTTTTTTAACTTCTTCTCTAAATACGGGTTCAGCTGTAAGTTGTCACAAATGATCCAGTGTTCTGATTGAGCTGAAAGTTTGTAGGAGTGAATGGAGGAGACTTTTCAAAACTCACCAAACATTTTATAGTACCGTTACTACTATTAGTACTTCTGCATCTAATATATATGTCTTTATTGTCAGAAAGGCCTCTTTTAAATAAAAGACAATTCCATTACCCATTCTAAAATGTTGATACACAAATAATGATTGTCTGTAGTGTTGGAAAATGGTGTAGAACCATGATGCATTAGTGATGGTGTAGTCGTCTTTATCCAAATGTATAACTGTCGACAATTACAGCTGTGTGATCATTAGAGGAACTATTTAATTCACCATATCCATCATCATAGCATACGTTATTGTGATACCTTTTATGGTATGCTTATTTAATACAAAATCTTTATGTTATCAATTATTTATGATATGAATACCTGATCCCAATCTCAATTTGATAAATGTTTAGTATTGTCAGGTATTTAGTTCAAGCTTAGGTATAAATGGAAGAAGTTTGTCTCAGTTTAACTTTAGTTTTTTGGTAATTGGTCTATTTTGAAAAAGCTAGGTCATACAGCTTATATTTGTATTTTATTTCAATTCTAACCCGCAAGGTTATGTGTGGTCATTTAAGACAAAAAAAAGTAGTGATATGAATTGAGAATTTCTTGACAATTGGTGGAGAGGTGTTGAAAGTACAAGGTTTAACGTTTTGGAATTTACATTATGAAAGCTGATGCAGCTTATAAAAAAACTTACTCAGTTGTACTGATGAAAGAAGATCTCAATCTTCCCTATTTTGATGGCTATATCTTAACCCCTAACAGTATCACAACATTTACTTCATATTTTTCATGTACAATTTTCGGTAAAGTATTAATAATAACTGCTGTAATAAGACCTGTACAATACATATTGCTGTAACAAGGCATGTACAATACTCACTGCTGTAAGGAGACATGTACAATACATGCTGCTGTAATGAGAAATGTACAATACATGCTGCTGTAATGAGACATGCACAATACAGGCTGCTGTAATGAGACATGTACAATACATGCTGCTGTAATGAGACATGTACAATACATGCTGCTGTAATGAGACATGTTTAATACATGCTGCTGTAATGAGACATGTACAATACTCACTGCTGTAATGAGACATGTACAATACATGATGCTGTAATGAGACATGTACAATACATGCTGCTGTAATGAAACATGTACACAACATGCTGCTGTAATGGGACATGTACAATACAGGCTGCTGTAATGAGACATGTACAATATTAACTACTGTAATGAGACATTGATATTCACTGCTGTAATGGGACAGTAGAATGTTTAAGAAATTTGTTATGATTTCCTGTGAAGTATTTGAAAGACAAATTTTACTTAATGTCCCTTGTACCACAGGTGATTTTGGAAGTGAAGACAGACACAGAGCTGAACATTGTGCCAACAGTGGATGCAGTAGTTACAACCAGAGTAAGTACAATGTCTGCTGTTGTAGAAATGGTAGACAGTTCCTTGTTATATAATTATACTGAAAGGATAAAGAAACGCAGGGTGAACTTTAAACCAGAAATTAAGTATGATATTGGGCTTCATTTAAAACGAAATTTTGTATACTTACAGATAAATTAAAGCTTAAAAATTTCCAAAGTCTGTATTTTGCATCTGGCAATTGGTTTAGAGGTACTAATGGTAAAATTGAATGGACCCATAGGATTTTGAAATTGAAATTGAACTGAGTCATCAATATCTTGTGTGTCCGCCGTTTGCTGTGGTCACGGCCCTTATTCTTCTAGTCATAGAGTTCATGAGAGCGTTAATCCGTCTGATGGGGATGTTGTCCCACTCTTCAATCAGAGCTCTGGTCAACTGCTCTCGAGTAGCAGAGGGTGGCTGGCGCTTTCGGACCTGTCTATCCAACTGGTCTCAAAGATGCTCGATCGGGGACAAATCAGGGCTATATGGCGGCCAATCTAGTGGTTGAATGTTGTTGTTGGCCAGAAAGGCTTGGCAAATCCTTGCTACGTGGGGCCTAGCATTATCCTGCTGGAGGGTTAGATTATGCTGCTGTAAGAAAGGGATAACATGGGGTCGGAGGATCTCATGTCTATACTTAGCTGCAGTTAAATTGCCATCAATAACAACCTATTGTGATTTTAACCCGTGTGAGATTCCTCCCCACACCATTACTGAACTGCCCCCAAACCTATCCCTCTCTACAACGCAAGCATCCGTAAAACGTTTGCCATGACGTCGGTAGACATGTTGACAGCCGTCAGATCGATAAAGACAGAATCGAGACACGTCCGTGAAGAAAACTTGTCTCCACTGCCTCAGTGGTAACCGTCGTGGAGCATGTGCAGCGACCCAGGCCATACGACGCTGACGTCGAGCATGGGTAAGGTGTGGACCTACGTAGGGCGACGTGCTCTTAAACCAATTTCTCGTAATCGATTTCTTACAGTTTTTTAACTTATAGGATGCCCATGATTTCCACAAACATTAAGTGCACTCTCAACGGCAGTAAGGTGCCGATTACGCACATGAGAGACGACGATATAGCGATCCTGACGTTGTGATGTTACGCGCGGACGTCCTGACCTAGGTCGATCGGCCAATCGCCAAGTTTCCCGCAGACGTCATACAAGACGTTCTATGGTGGAAACATTAACACCAAAGTGCCTAGCAATCTGATTTTGCAGCTGTCCTTGCATCAGCATCTGAATGGCTTGACCCCTCTGAACTTCTGTGAGTCATGCCATTCTTAAAACGAATCAAATTCTCAATTAATTTTAGGGAAGCAGTTGGTCTGTATAAAGACTAACGAAGAGTGACTTGACCAACGCTGCATGAGACCAGAACAACACGGTGCACGAGATTCTTGTTTTTTCCTTCCTCCATTTACCAGAGCTGCGCACTGTACCATGACTAAATTTTCGATACATGACAAGGTGCAATATGACCTAATTACTCAATCCACAAAGTTTCACTTTATTTGGAGAATGGGTTTTCAAAATATCGGAATAAATGTTACCCTGCGTTTCTTTATCCTTTCAGTATATATCTCAATACTTGTGAACTAGTGAGAGTTAACATGCTTGTTTTCTTCAGTTGTAAACTCTAGCTCATTTTCTTTTTCTGATTTCTGATGCAGTAGATATTGTTTTTTATCAAAAGATTTTATTTAGATTTCTGTCTTTGTATTTTTTAGGTGACAAATGTAAATCCACGTTTCTGCAAATGTTCCATCTTAAGTGTAGGAGGCATAACTCTAAAAGAACCCTTCAGGGGCCTCATCAGGTAGGTCTACTGTCACTCTAAATGTTAGCAGCATCACTCTTCTTAATTTTACTGTCACTTTAGATGTTGAAAGCATAATTTAAAATGAGCCTATCAGGGGCCTTGCCAGTCAATTTAATACTCTGAAATAACCAATTGGGGCAGCATCAGGTAAGTTTACTGTCCATTTAGGGGCTTTACTGTGTAAACCCTTCATGGTCACTTTCAGGTAAGTTTTACTGTCACTTTGGAAGGGTTAATGCTCTGGAAAACCCTTGGAGGCCTTGATATGAAATAACCCTTCAGGAACCTCATCCAGTAAATTTACTGTCACTTTGGAGTCATTACGGGTAACCCTTAAAATTACCCATCAGGTACCTCATCCAGTAAATTTACTGTCACTTTGGAGTCATTACCCTTAAAATTACCCATCAGGAACCTCATCCAGTAAATTTACTGTCACTTTGCAGCCATTAGTTTGAATTAACCCACCAGGGACCTCATCCAATTAGGTTATTATCACTTCAAATGTTGGAGGTGTTTTTCTGATATAACCCTAAACGTAGGCACTGTAGAAATATTCATTTGTGTATTTACTTTGCCGTCGTTAACCATCTCATTTCATAACCCTTGATATGTACTTAATACAGTTTGTTCATGCACAAATTCTGTGTCTAAGGATACTGTTTAGATAGTATTTGGACCAGAGATGTAAGACATTATCAACACTGCTGTACCCAGTTAAATGTACAAATTTTACACATCTTTCAATTACCAATATCATACACATGTCAAATATAAGCTCCTCTATATCCTGTTTCAGAAAAGAAGATGTGAGAGCCACAGAAAAAGATAAGGTATGTTCTTTTTCACATAAGTTAAGATTAATGTTGAGAATATATCTAAAGCTATCACATGAATACTTTGCATGGATATTAATATCACTCTGAAATGAAATATTGAAACAACAAAGACGAATGTTACAGGTTCACTATAGATTTGTTGTTGTCATGTTTGATTTCTGATATGCATTGTAATATATAAAGTTGTTTAAAATTATTTAATTCTCAAAATTCACTGTGATAAATTCACCTTCTCAGGGAGGGAAGAGAAATGATGTCAGAAATTTAACGGTATATAATTCAATATGACTAAATCTGATTACAAAAGTGAATAGAACAATAGTTTTCCTGGTTGCTGGACAGTGAATTCTGGAAAATATTTTGTAAATGATGGATGTGTTGAGGTGCCCAGTATGATGATATGGTCACAGATATAACTACAAATATACATACCAAGTTTGGTTAAAGTTATTGAAGGAACATATCTAAACACACAACTTTTCAAAAGCGAAATACATATACCAGGTAATGATGATGATGATCGCCTGGCAAATGTCACACCATAGTTTCGTTTTCGACACTTTTTGTTGCAGGCAAAGTAGAAATTAGTCACAAGAATGTCTTTGCTATTTTATATTGGTTTACATAGAGAATCTTTAGCCCACCATCATCAGATGTTGGATTATCAAATTGCCCTATGTCCAGGTTCTGTTGGTAAATAATTCTCGTTGTTACCATTTGGTGAGAGATAATGGATGGATGTTTCTCAGTTCTCACGAAACTTGCTCAATGTCACTACTACATTGGATTGATTTGCATGAAGGGGCGATTTTACGGTTCATTGATTTTTGTAAGATTTATGCCATTTTATCTTGATCTTGATTTTTTGTATATTGTGTCCACGGCACTCTTGTTATATGTAGATTCCTCTTGTCCACTAGATGTGGGTTTTTTTGTAATTTTGGGCCTGATTAAACATACATAACAGCAGACAAGTGACCATCTTGAATTTTGACAGTTGAAGATTAGTATCACTAATTCTTAAGAATTTTTAAATTCCATATAATGTAGAGCAAGAACAGAGGAGGGCACCTTTTTGTTCACAATTATATTATTTTCTCAAAGGATTAGCAATTTCAAAGCTTCAAATTAAATTTTAACAAAATACTGTAAAATTCTATATTTTTGGGGGGTAACAAATTTCATGCTTTTCAAAAAAAACAAAAAAAAAAACTGTTTAGTGTTCATTTATATATGTGGATAAATATATCTCAATGAATCAGTGTAAACTTGATTTAACAGTTCATGGACATCTAAATTTGTAGAATAGCCACAACGTCAACAAAAAATAAATCCCCAATGAAAATCAGTGGTTTAACAATACCTTCATACAAACAGGAAAAAAAAAGATGTTAAACTTTTACCTCTTGGATTTGACAATTTATAATTATTACACTGTGTTATTATCGCAATTTCTCAGATGAATATTTGAATTTCCTGAGATTAAGAGTAATAACTAAGGAAAGAAAGAAAAAGATCCAACTTTTAAAGAACAAATAATGATGGGAAGCTAAGATCACTTTGGGATTTCTTGATAACTCCTGTATAAGCTAGAGTCTGTAATATTGAAATGGAGCTTATATGTACAAATTTTGTAATATTTTCAACCAGGTAATTAATTTACATGTAGAATATAAACGTACATATGTAGTACTTACATAAATGCATAGTTTCAATCAGATCACTTCAGAGGTGATAGGATTTACAATATACATGTTCTGAGTGTTAATGGCTTCAGAGGTGATAGGATTTACAATATACATGTACTGAGTGTTAATGGCTTCAGAGGTGATAGGATTTACAATATACATGTACTGAGTGTTAATGGCTTCAGAGGTGATAGGATTTACAATATACATGTACTGAAAGTGTTAATGGCTTCAGAGGTGATAGGATTTACAATATACATGTACTGAGTGTTAATGGCTTCAGAGGTGATAGGATTTACAATATACATGTACTGAAAGTGTTAATGGCTTCAGAGGTGATAGGATTTACAATATACATGTACTGAGTGTTAATGGCTTCAGAGGTGATAGGATTTACAATATACATGTACTGAGTGTTAATGGCTTCAGAGGTGATAGGATTTACAATATACATGTACTGAAAGTGTTAATGGCTGCAGAGGTGATAGGATTTACAATATACATGTACTGAAAGTGTTAATGGCTATCATTTGCATTAATTTTGTAATCAACATGATAGGATTTTATACATGTACTGTTATGTCTACACTAATATACATGTATTGTTTATTTACAGAGGTGATAGGATTTACAATATACATGTACTGAGTGTTAATGGTGACATAGTGGTGGCATACGTGTACTGAGTGTTAATGGCTTTGATAGGATTTACAATATACATGTACTGAAAGTGTTAATGGCTCACAATATACATGACTTTGTCCTGATAGGAACACATATACTTGTACATTTTTTTAATGGCTTCAGAGGTGAATAATACATGTACTGAAATTTCATAAAATATACATGTACTGAGTGTTAATGGCTTCAGAGGTGATAGGATTTACAATATACATGTTCTGAGTGTTAATGGCTTCAGAGGTGATAGGATTTACAAATATATACATGTACTGAGTGTTAATGGCTTCAGAGGTGATAGGATTTACAATATACATGTACTGAGTGTTAATGGCTTCAGAGATATAGGATTTACACATATACATGTACTCTTCAATGATAGGATTTACAATATACATGTACTGAAAGTGTTAATGGCTATCATTTGCATTAATTTTGTAATCAACATGAAGTTTTTATACATGATGTCATGTCTACACTAATTGTATTGTTTATTTACAGATAGAGATGTACAAATGTTTCCGACCAGGTGACATAGTGGTGGCACGTGTTGTATCCTTTTATACTCCTCCAACACTGTACATTTACAGTCACAGACTTTGTCCTCTAAACACATTACTTGGCCATTTTTTTAAATTGAATAAAAATTCATAAAATAAAGTTGCTAAAACTCTGGCAACATACAGGAGGATTTCTGTGATATAAACACAAATATTTCTAATAGACACTAACATACAGGAGGATTTCTGTGATATAAACACAAACATTTCTAATAGACACTAACATACAGGAGGATTTCTGTGATATAAACACAAACATTTCTAATAGACACTAACATACAGGAGGATTTCTGTGATATAAACACAAACATTTCTAATAGACACTAACATACAGGAGGATTTCTGTGATATAAACACAAACATTTCTAATAGACACTAACATACAGGAGGATTTCTGTGATATAAACACAAACATTTCTAATAGACACTAACATACAGGAGGATTTCTGTGATATAAACACAAACATTTCTAATAGACACTAACATACAGGAGGATTTCTGTGATATAAACACAAACATTTCTAATAGACACTAACATACAGGAGGATTTCTGTGATATAAACACAAACATTTCTAATAGACACTAACATACAGGAGGATTTCTGTGATATAAACACAAACATTTCTAATAGACACTAACATACAGGAGGATTTCTGTGATATAAACACAAACATTTCTAATAGACACTAACATACAGGAGGATTTCTGTGATATAAACACAAATATTTCTAATAGACACTAATGTCGACATTGACAATAGTACTTTGAAGATTAGCTTGTTTTGGGTAATAATCCTACATGACTTTCTGTGTCACTTTATCACAATAACAATCAGAGATAAAGTGTTTACAAGATACAGGAGACTAACGGTTCTATCAAACAAAAATGATTAAGGTATTTTACTGTAACGCAAGATACTTTGTTATCAACATAACATTGATTGTATAATCAGTATTTGATGTTAGAATGTTTGGTTATTGCAACATTGCTGTTCACCTTGACTCAATGTCTAGATGTCATTAGGAGATGCCCATTCCTATGTGTTGTCTACAGCAGAAAATGAACTTGGTGTTGTCATGGCCACAAGTGAGGCTGGTAAGTGTTCCAATCGCAATTCTCAGTTTTAATCTTCTTATACAAAATCAATTTTGGTGAACATTCTTAGAGATATCAAATCCATTGGAATTCTTCACTCTTTCGAATGAAAAGTATGGATTAACTTGTACTGGATGTTTTTGTCCTTCTGTAGATTTTGTATCATTTGAAAGTAGTTGTCTCCCTTTACACAGGTTCCAACATGACTCCAGTGAGCTGGTGCAAGATGAAGTGTCCTAAAACATTGGCAGAAGAATACCGCAAAGTTGCAAAGGTGCAAGCAAATTATATTAATTATTCAGATACTTGAATAATAAATTATTTTCATTTTTATAAAATTTTTGTTCTTGTTTTCTATCAAGTCATTCCATCATGTAGTGATTTTTATTAATGTTATATATGCTAAATTCTGTGATTTACTGTCAGGTTTAAAACACCTATCATATAAAACATAGAAATCTCTGTTTTCAACTGACTTAATATGCAAAACATGAATTACCATGACATGAAGTTATGATTTTTTAAAGCATTTTGGGAGAAATCATCATTTTGATCATTTTTTTTCTGTCTCTATTTTTCCAAGCTTTTCAACTTTGTTTCCACTTTCTGGTGTCAACTGATCTCTTTGGAACTTGGAAAGTGTATTTTAAACAAGTTCAATTGAACAATTTTTGAAACAGAAATCACTTTGTTGCAGTATTTCAATCTATTCTCTTGCAGTTTTGATGATTTAAAGAATTGTATTTGAAAATGGTAACAGGGTATACTGGAACACCAGCAAACACCTGATTTACTTTAGAAATCACTTGATGAAATATTTGTTTTTTAAGAAAAAAGTTTAAAATTGTGTCTTCGGTTCTTTGAATACCATGTTTACCATGTTCTCATTTGAGCATGTGACATTACTGACTTGGATTGACCAAGGTTAACATGCATGTGTCATTGATGAAGCAGAAGATGCTTACACTTCAGTAACACCTGGTCTTATTCTCCTTGTTCTTGTCCAGGAGTCTCTTTCTTTTGTGTATATTTTACCCTATTGTTATTGAATTTGAGTTTGGTTTATTGTTTATGGTGATGTTTGTTACAAAAACTTTTGTTATATGGACAATCATTATAATATTTTGCATTTTGATACAATAATGTATACTCTTGTATTTCACTTTCGCCTATTGTTTCTATTGTTTCATTACACAATATTTTCAAAAAATGTCAACATTTAGGATGTACAAATTTGACCTTGACCAAGGTTATTGTGAAAATTAATGATTGCCATCTAGCTGTGACAAAGTCTCATGGTGACCTATTGTGACCACCTTCAGCGTGCGTCAATAAACAATTAAACATTTTTGACTTCTCAAAAAGCCTTATTTGATTTCAATGAAATTTTGCAATTTCCCCGGCCTAAGATGAACCAAAATTGTGAATTATACAGCCCCCACCCCACAGGGGCCTGAGGGGCAGGGCCAAAAGGGGTAACATTGAATCGGATTTCAAAAATCTTCTGAAAACCCAGGCCCCACTTGTATAAAACATCTCAACTTGAGATTTCCTCAAGTCGAGATTTTCCTCAGCTGATATCTCCTTGAAAATATCTTGTATGAAAATTCCTCAAGGAATTTCAGGACATCCTAACTGATGCCTTCCTCCTGTTCCTTGTGAAAATTTTATACAAGCCGTTTTTGAGGAGATATCAGCTGAGGAAAATCTCGACTTGAGGAAATCTCAAGTTGAGATGTTTTATACAAGTGGGGCCAGATATGGTGGAATCAAATACTATCCATCAATGGAAGCATCTTAAGGTACTTTACCAAAATTGTGATTTCATGGCCCTAGGGTCTCATATATCCCCATGGGAAGGGGGTAAAGTTTACTAAACTTTATATAGGAAAACTAGATACTTTAGCACAATTTGTTTAATTTCCAAAGGAAATATAAGTTAAGGGTGATGGCTTGATGGTATGCCCATTTTGGTCCTGACAGACTCCCAGGAATTGATGGGTGGGGCCAAAAGGGGTCAAATTGACTTAAATTTCAAAAATTTTCTTTTTAACACCCAGATATGATAAAATCAAATGCTTTGCATGGATGGAAGCATCTTAAGGTGTTTTATCAAAATTGTGAATTTCATGGCCCCAGGGTCTCACATTTCCCAGTGGGGAGGGGGTAAAGTTTACTATAGTTGATATAGGAAAACTAGATTTTTTAGCATAATTTGTTTGATTTTCATTAGAAATATTTCAGACTTGGTTAGAATTATGAGTAAAGGATGATGGCTTGATGGTATGCCTATATTAATGAAATCCCACTGAAAATAACTTCATAAGAATAATCAGTATAGGATGACAGTTTTGATGGCATGCATGTATTGACACTGGCTTACTATATTCAGTGTCACAATTTCTGTTTCATGACACTTGATAACTACCCTTTAACCTTTATATTCAATATTGCTTAGTCTCAGGTGACCGTCAAGGCCGCTAGGCCTCTTGTTATAGATTTTGATTGGAATTTAGAGTATAGATTTTGTCACCTACAAAAATGTAAATGTAACAAAATAGAAATATAGAGTCTAATTGACATTAATCTCAAACATTCTTGGATCCCTAAAACTAGAACACTTGGGTTTTCAGGTAAAATATATTGTGTGTTGAGTGTATGATTATGTTTTGTTTCACAGAAATTTGTGTACTAGTTGAGAGTGTTATATTTAGTGGTAATAATGATAATTATGCATAGATACCATTTGTTTGGATTAGAAAAATGATTGGAAATTGCTTCAATTAATGATAAATAAGCAAAAAGCAGGTAAAAAGTTAAGTTTATTAAATGAATAAATACTGATGCAAGGTACAAAAATAATTAGGTATATATGTTCTGTTCATGCATGATCATAAACACACCACACCCAGAACAAACGTGCACTAACAAAACCACTGTCGTTTGTTAAATATGAGATTTTTTCTGCCCTCCAAAACATCATTTTAATTTGAGGCCTATTTATAATCAGCATAAATATTCACACACAGGATAAAAAGTGACAACAAATATTCCCATGATTATAAGAAGATACATAAATTTATCATTTATAAATTTACTAAATAAATACCAACATTTTGAAACTAAATCTTTGGAATTAATAGTGCATGTGTATATATTTATTGATAAATTAATGCTGAAGTTTTAAATAGAACTTATACAAATATAAACAACCTTCCATCTCTACTAGTCCTTACAGGACACAAGGCACAAATACTGGTGTATACAAACATCATATAGCTATATTGGGTATAATCTATTGTTATAACATTTGTAAAAATATTTAATATCTGCTATCTACAGGTGTTATTGCACAGAGATTACTTTCTGTTAATACAGCGTCAGTAGAATCTCTGCAGATAATTAGAATTTATTTAGTTATAGTCACATTCTTATCTTCTTCTTGTTGAATTTGATCCCTTTTCAAACATTTTAATTTTTTTTGGTAGTATATTATGATAATATCAATAATGTATTAGTAAAAACAAATCACATTTGTGCTAAATGACATAAAGTGAAGTTAGTGAGAACTAACGAGTTTAACCAACCTTTATATTTATTGTCTTACTACAGCTGTTACAAAATGAGTTTGTCCTGGTTTGGCATTCAATCCAACATCAATGGTAACTACCTATGATCTAGACCAGCTGGCACAGTCACTTAATACTGTTTAAGATTAGAGAATACACCAACAAAACAATTAATAAAAACATTGTTTTCAGGTAAAACCTGTGAATTCCTGACTAGTTTGTAAACAACACATTGCAGAAACATATATATCTGATTAAAATATATGTTGAGAAAACAAGCAATGAAGAAAATCCTGAAACCTATCAAGAAAATAGCACTTTGGTCAAAATTACAATCAAAACAAAGCCTCATTATATTTTTGTTATATTATCCACTTTCATGGATCTCCCTTAACTATGGAATTTTCCTTAACTTGAAATTCCCATGAAAAATCATTACAAATGTTAAGGAAATTTAATTTAATTTAAGTTTTTCTCAATGTAATGCTTTTCTATGGTATTTAAAATTTCCTCAAGTTCAGAAAATTTGTGAAACTGATTGTGGAAAATGAGACTATCCTAGGCAGGCACCAGAATGTCAAAAAGAAATATCCCATCACCGAAAATAAAACACCTGAACACCAATACTGATAACAAATCTCAGCACATCAAAGTCATGTGTAAGTGAAAGGAATAAACAGAGTACTTTGATGTTAACCTATTCAACAAGTCAATAAGTCATTAAATAAAATTCTCATTCGTAATAAGTGATAAAGGATACCATGCTTTCAGATCTCAAATATTTACCTAGCTATCAAGATGCAGCTGTTACATTTCTGTATATCGATAGATTTTTTTAAAAACTGATCAATTTCATATGTACAGCTATTATGCAATTTAAAAATAAAATCAATTTGATAACAGCAGCACAACTTATGAACTATCAAACTTATACCTAACTTGGCACATTTCTGCGGACTTAGATTGTCTATCGTCACGTCATGTCGGTAATTTCAGGCAAAATAAATGACGTTAGATATATCACAATAACTTCCATCATTATACAGTTTTGGTAATAAAAGTTTCTGTATTTGTTACACATAGGTCAGCCAATAATACTAAACAAGCTAAAAAACTCATAAAATAATTTAGACTTTAAGTGTTTTTAATAAAAAGTAGTGACATTGATAACTAAACTGCATTAGAATTAAGCTAGTATGCATTTACCGGTAAAACATAAGACAAATATTTTTATATATATAATATACATTTCAAACTATTAATGACATCTGAAAATGTCAATGTCGAAAAAAAGAAATGTAAACAGATATCTGCCTTTAAAAAATGAAAATTCATGATCACTGCAGTTTTATAATTCAGTATGAAGGTGAAGAGCGACATACAAAACCGATCTGGTAAACTTGTGGTGTCCTCACACACGTTGTTTCAATGTCTTGATTTTAGATATTTCGTCTAAGTAGACAGGTCTCACCATGTAATCTGCCTGGCCACACTTGTCCTCAAAGTGTTGAATACGATCTATAAAATCTTGGAAATCTTTCTGTGTTTCTGCCAATACAGCTTCAACATTTTTCTTTTCTTCTTCTACTTCAAGAATTCGTTGCTCTCGTTTTTTAATTTCTGCCAGTTTCTCTTGTATCTCCAATCCTAGTAAAGTTATTTTCTCTTGAAATTCCTTAGTTAATGCTTTGATTTTCTCTACGGTAATGTTTCGCTCACGTTGCTCCACTTCTGCAACAGCCTTCACTCGTTCCCTGTCTTTAGCCTCCTCTAATTCCAGAAGAGCTATCCTTTTCTCTTCCTTAGCTTTAACAGCTGCAGCTTTGAATTTGTCTTCATGAATTCTGAAAAAAAAACAGCATATTGCAATTTTTGTGTTAATGTGTTTTGTATGAATTGATTGGCAGCCTAACACAGAATTTCATCCATGTAAAATGTAGATAATTTAGCTATCTATATATTGGATGGTCCACTCGACACACCTGACCTTAACACAGAAAATTGAATCAGTGTACCGAAACTAGCTGTATCAACACTTCAGTGAATGTTATTCCTCACCTAATGATACGTGCTACCTCTTTCGCAGCTGCTTCCTTCTCCTCCTTTCTGGCGGCTTCTACTGCGACTTTCAGTTCTGCACGCCCCTTCTCCTCAGCAGCATGGACAGCCTCGCGTAAACGTTCCTCCCCTTCCATACGTGCCTGTTTCACCTGTTCTATGGCAAGCTTCTGCATGGCCATCTCAACACGTAGAGCCTCCTCCTGTAAGAGTAGGGGATTGTATACGACATGAGTATACATTATATGTGGTGACCAAGTAGTCCACCATCAGTTCTTATTTTCACTATTTCTTAAAAAGTTCTGAAATTTCATATGTAAGTAATCTTTTGAATTCAAGAGTGATTAGAACACAAAAAAGCTGACAGGCAGCCATCTCAAATTTTGATAATTTTGCTTTAGTCATCATGCTTCGTCCATTGTCGTGCGCCGTGCGCCGTCCGTAAACTTTTCATTCAAACGACTTCTTCTGAAATACTAGAAGGTCTAGGGGGCTAATACTTGGCACAGAGGATACTGGCATGGAGCTCTACCAAGTTTGGTCAAATGAATGACCTTGACCCACTTTAAAGGTCACAGGGGTCAAATATGTTAAAATCTTTAAACAACTTCTTCTCATTAACCAAAAGGCTCAGAGTGTAGATATTGGGCCTGTGACATGCTGGGATGAAGGACTACCAAGTTTGTTCAAATGAATGACCTTGACCCACTTTAAAGGTCACAGGGGTCAAATATGTTAAAATCTTTAAACAACTTCTTCTCAATAACCAAAAGGCTCAGATTGCTGATATTGTGCCTGTGGCATGCTGGGATGAAGGGCTATCAAGTTTGTTTAAATGAATGACCTTGAACAACTTTCAAGGTCACAGGGGTCAAATATGTCAAAATCTTTAAATAACTTCTTCTCAAATACTAGAAGGCCTAGGGGGCTAATACTTGGCCCATAGCATGCTGGCATGGAGCCCTACAAAGTTTGTTCAAATGAATGACCTTGGCCCACTTTCAAGGTCACAGGGGTCAAATATGTTAAAATATACAAAGGACTTCATCTCAATAAGCAAAAGTCTATGAGTGCCGATATTGGGTCTGTAGCATGCTGGGAGGAAAGGCTACCAAGTTTATTTAAATGAATGACCTTGAACAACTTTCAAGGTCGCAGGGGTCAAATATGTCAAAATCTTTAAATAACTTCTTCTCAAATACTAGAAGGCCTAGGGGGCTAATACTTGGCCCATAGCATGCTGGCATGGAGCCCTACAAAGTTTGTTCAAATGAATGACCTTGGCCCACTTTCAAGGTCACAGGGGTCAAATATGTTAAAATATACAAAGGACTTCATCTCAATAAGCTAAAGTCTATGAGTGCCGATATTGGGTCTGTAGCATGCTGGGAGGAAAGGCTACCAAGTTTATTCAAATGAATGACCTCAACCCACTTTCAAGGTCACAGGGGTCAAATATGTTAAAATATACAAACGACTTCTTCTCAACAAGCAAAAGTCCATGAGTGCTGATATTGGGCCTGTAAGATGCTTGGAGGAGAGGCTACCAAGTTTGTTCAAATGAATGACCTCAACCCACTTTCTAGGTTTGGCTTGCTTTTTGTCAGATGACCGTTAAGGCCCATGGGCCTTTTGTTCTGGAGAAGGGTTTCAAATTGAGTTAATGCATCAGTAGGACAAGATATCAAGACAATGATAATACAACACCACATTAAGATCAAGCAGAGTGATAATTGATATCACTAACGAAGACCAATATAGCACTGGATATAAATATCATAACTGAGCAGTGTTATTTTACAGCAATGGTAGAATATTATTGTAATTACAACTGCAGACTTGGACATGCATGCTGAGATCAACATTTCTAAAATCCGCATTATATAACCTTGTGCATAACACTAGGCATAATTACACAACACATTGTGAAGTAAATGCACAATTAGGCATGTTATAAGGATCTTCGGTGAAATTAGGTGATCTATGGTAAAATTACCAGTAACATACACAGTGTAAGAGTTATTTAGCATTTTGTTTCAATATAGTAAACTATTTTCATTTCAGTAATAATTACCATAACTTTAGTATGCAAATATAGTACCCGCACTCATCTTTGTAACCCAAAAACAAAAGATTAAAAAATCCCGCCCTCAATTCAATCCATAGTCAGCTAGATGTTGTGTAGGTGTTCATTTTAGCTCACCTGTCCCCATGACCTAGCTTATGCCATGGTGCATTGTTCGTCCATTGTCTGTATAAATGTACAATGTAAATGTCATCTGTTCACCATCAATATTTTTTCTTCAAGATTTATTTCATGTTTTAACGTGAGGAAAGTTGATCACAAATTCAAATCTATGGCGATAATTTTTAAGTAACTCTGGATGGCCTCCATGATGAGTTGGTTACCAAGATCAGAGTCTTGAAGAGTTCATGCCTCTAACTGCTCATCATTCGCGAATTCAAAGTCATTTCCAGATCAGCATTTGTGAAATCATGTGTTCGTGAATACATCTCAAGAGGGAAGTTCACCAAATGAAATATTCATGAAATATGATTTACAGTAGACTCAACATAGACACTGGTATAGTAATTGAGATCATTCTGTCCCTCTACAGTATGTAGTCAATTAATTAAGGATAGTCGAGACAAAGTATTATCATATTTGAAATATACTTTACTACCGAAGTCCCGACAGGGTATGTGTACGTGTATGTATGAAGTAATAGGTAGGTTTTATCTAGAGTCAAAGTACAGCTAACATCTGGTGTTATCTGGACTAGACAGAGATAAGCCTGAATGACACACTTCTCCACGCCACAGGATAGGATGCATGTTGCTCATGTTTTATCAACACCATGTAAACGTGACATGCTTGTACTGTGAGCTGACCTGTTATGTATGGCCTTCACACACGCATGAAAATATACTCCAACTATGAATTCAATTTTCCATCATGGTGGTAATGTAAATAAACCTATGCTCCCCATGCATATTTATAGTGGGAGGCTTGGTAACAGTGCCTATTCTATTTAAGACCTATCTACCCCTTCTTCCCTCCCCAAGTCCAGTCTTGCTTTGAATATGTCTAACATTTTTCAAATGCACTCACATTTCAAATATCAAGAAGTGCTGGAGACCCTGAATGATTGATACAGCTAGGTCCCCATTATTTAATGGAATAATTTGACAAATTTAAGTTCAGTGAATAAATTATGATTGTAACTGAGTCCATATTTCTTGCTATTTTAGAAATCTACCATAACCGAATAGAAGTGTATATATATACCAGTTATATCGTAATTATATTTTATACAGTGTATGCACCTGATTATACAAACTCCCTGCCTTTGTACCGGTTGGTGTACAGTGTTGTTTGCAACAACACACCCTACTGATAAGTGAATTTTTACTACAACAAACTGTCTCCATGTCATCAACAATTGTACAAAATACTGGCTATATCATTTTCACCTTTGATCAGAATTGAGCACAGAATCCATGCCAAACTGGGCATAAATATCCGAGGGTCAACAGGAGGTCAACATCAACTCCGAGACATGATAAAACGAACGATGAACCACATGGATTGTGACCCAGTCACAGAACTGACGGTACACATACTAATGTTTGAGTTTATAATGTGTGTTCATTCTATCTCTTGTCATATATTACATAATTGTAAAGTGATATAGGACAAATATTCCACATATCTTTTTTTTTGTAATGTAACTGCTTGATCATCCCAGGAAATTTATTCAATGGGTGGATCACTTGATGAAGGTAAATATTTTTTCTTTCCATTTTCAAAGCATTATATGTTTACATGTAAGTGTATATCACACAGTCATGTAAGTGAAAGCTAGTTTGAATTGGTAAATTTTTCATCTTCACAGGTGATAATTATGAGGCTGATGAAACTGGATAAAGCCTTGTTAATATTACATGACAAAAATTAACGAGTACATGAAATCAGGCAATGACATTTTGGAACATTTTCCTTTGGCTAGTAATGTCAATTGAATAGGTGTTCTTACATTAACACGACCAGTAAATGACTTAGTGTGATGTTTTTGATGACGTTGTACTGCCACCTTTATCAGACAAATGACCAGCATGAAGTTTACTAACACTGACTTCCATATTTGAGTATAATTTGCTTATACTTCAGTCAGAAATTATTCTGGTTAGAATTATTATTATGGGATGGCAGTTACATGATAAGCACATTTTTACATAGCCTGATCCTCAGAGGCCAGATGGACTCTGACCCATGGCCAAAATCGATGACAGTGACTCCAATTCCAAATATTATCTAAACACTCAGGTATGATAGACTTAAATACTCTCCATGGACAAAAGGGAGACATATTTCGCAGAAGATGAATCCCAATTTCATACAGAACTTCACATTTTACAGAAGACTCCAGTTTCATGTTTATTAATCAGAACAAATGGCTTTTTTTGGATGTTTAAATTAACTTGCCTTCAGAGCCTTCTGATGAACTTTGTTGAATTTTTCAATGACTCTTTCCTGTTCTATGGCAGCCTCCTCTCGAGCCTTTGCCACTGCAGCAGCTTTGATCTGCTCTGCCTCTGCCCACAATGCAGACTCAGCATCCCGAATTGATTTCAGCTTTTCAAGCTCGGCAATATCCAAAGTCTGCCGATGTAGTTCATGGCCAATATCTACAAAAGAATTAAATATAATTACTTTATAATCAGACAAACCAATTTCTGACATTATTCTTGCATTCAGTCCTTTAGTTCATCTCTCATCACTGGTAACAAAATTTTGCATTTATAAAATATTCTGATGTTATAGAAATATATATGAATATCTGCAACTAGGTTCAAATAAGCACATAGGAACATTGCGCAATAAATTCCATAGGAAGTTAGTCACAAATTTGCAACAAACTTAATTTAAATCATTTGCTAGATAATAATGAATATTAACATTTTAGAACTTGATAGTAACACATCTGATGACAAATCACAAATCATCATATTCACTCTTTTTTTTTATTTAAGCAACATCAACGGCAAAAACCTTCTTTTTTTTTTCCTGATGTTCTTATAACTGCTGCTTCTATGTATAAAGTTTTGTGTTATATATGATAATGCATATACACAAAACACCACATTAGTAAACAAGAATGGCTTCCTATGTGAATCAGTTGTGGTTAAAAAAAAATGTTACAATGTCGGCCACAAAGCAAAAGAAGGCCAAAGAGGCAGAAGAAAACCCAAGAAATTTGCTAAAGAAGCTTACTATGGCAGATGGTAACTTATCAGCTGAGAAAGCAAAAAAGACAATTATGTGTTCTGTTGGATTGACTGACAGACTGACCAAGTGGAATTAAGTTAATGCTTTACATATTGTTTACAAAACCTGTACACTTGGAGTGAGACTTTTACAGAAAGGATGGCTATTGATGTCATATTTTTACATGATTTTAAATTAAATTTCAGTGATAAAATAACTCCTACTTGTCCATGATTCAGGTGCCAAAAAACAGATGTTTGCATAATTTGTCACTACATTTTTGCACCATCTCATGTGATCTTGTAAACAAATGAACTACTTGATTTTCAATCATGTCATGTAATGCTACAACTCTAAATTTGAGAGGGATTTCCCGTACAAACTGAGTGGTCAAACTGGACAGTGGAAATCAACAGTGAATATCAGGATTGCATTGAAACGTGACTGAAAGTGTATGAGACACCCACAATCAACAGAAAAGAATGCATTCTTATAGAATAGAAAACATTTTTACAGTGATATCCCTTTAATATTGTTGGTGTTTATCTGGGATCACATTCAGCAGTGAGAATATCACACCATCAAACAAGAATTACTAGTAGATATGTACCTAGCGATGACAACTTACAAATGGACCTCAATCCAAAGTCTGAATTAAGAGTTCTGACTATCAGTGAATTTATCAGATAAAAATAACATATTAGAGAGTCAGTGTCAATGGGTTACTTTAACAAATGATATTATTTTTAAACATTGCATTATATGGCCTGGGCAGTGGAGTTTAGGTATTCACATTATACTCCAGAGATTCCATCATAAAAAATAAACCTCTGTCTAAAAGATATTGGATGAGCAAGTTGTAATTATCATAATGTTACCCTTCATCTCTTTATTTTAACATCTGTGAAAGAATATGGAAAAAACACATTCCTGTTGATTGCCCCAACCCGGAATCGAACCCGGGTCTCAAGTGTAATAATCGACCTGTTCAACCAACTGAGCCAAAGATGCATGCACCATCAGCTGGGTGACACCAATCGTATCTAACACTATGTACAAGGCATACTAACCCATTCCTTTCACACTACTCCCCCTTTTTATCTATTTGTTTTTTCATAGATTTCTTAAATTCCAAATATCAAAACCGTGGGGTTTTGTTGAGCGCCAATGCGAAAGAACATACATTCCTGTCACGTGCCTCTATTAGGAGTCAAACCAGGCTCTGCAGTGTGATAATCGACCTGCTCTATCAACTGAACCAAAGAAGCATACTTCTTCGGCTGAGTGACAGAGACCATATTTAACATTATGTGCAAGCCATACCAACCAGCTCCTATCACACATTTAATGAATGTTTGAAAACGTGTTTATAACATACTGAGTATTCTTCTATGGGCATGGCCCTGAATCAGCACCGGTCGTGTTTCCTCGTATCTTTTTGGAACTCCATTGTATCTTGTCAGAGAAGGCAAACTGAAAGAAAGGTTCTGTGTCGACCTGTCCGTGCTCTTCCGTCTAGACTGTTCTGTGTGTGCCGACATGTTTAAAACGACTTTTCACTTATTGCAGATTATAGAGTATAGACCTATTGTGGCCAATTTAGGCTTTCATATGGTAAACAAAACCACGCCGTGGACTTGTTTTCATTAACCATGCAGATGCTGTAAATTTGACAGGTCCTTACGTATACAAGATATAAGCTCTTTGTCCGTTAGTGTGCGTTAAACTCTCTGATGGTTGAATGAATTCAGCGTAGTTTCCATTCTTGTTACACACTACAGACGTGTCATCTTACGAATGTCACGAGCAATTTAGTTTCAGCAACTAGCCTACATCATCAGCAATGATCGTGGCTGGTGGCCTCGCCGGAAGTGATTGTTTTTTAGAGAAATAGTGCACAAATGTCTTTCTTTAAGAAGAATTCCTTAATATCATGTATGTAACTTAATGTATTATTGGGGAAAACCTTTTTTCTCTGTTATTTATTTATTACCAATGACTTTGATAAGATACAACACGTTGCGCAGTGATATATTTTGAAAACGAAAGCGTCCATGGTTGCTACTGGTGATCTCGCGAGAATACTGCGGGATTATGCGAGATATATTTCGTCATTGCCGGAAGTGATGTAGGAGGGCACACCACTAGATGTGTATTGTCAAAAAATATTAAGACCACTGTGCTACCAGCAGTTAAGGTACGGCATGAAGAAAGGACAGACCTTCCATACGTAAGGTAATATAGTGTTGTAAATCAATACGCCATATGAAATAATTTTCATTAATTTGTTGTTAAATCAACAGTTGTATGTTACGATCATAAAATGGTAAATAATATGTGACCACGTGCACTAGCTAAACTCTTGATGATGCGCTGTTGTACCTCGCACGTGGTGCACGGACAATTGCATGTTGTTCTTAATGCTTCTACATAGGCGACAATTTCTTCACTGCCATTGATTGTATCTTGATGCTACAAAGCGAGAATGGTAGTGACTTCATCAACTTAAACATCAGCAACTATTTCAGGTGTGGTGCAAATCTAAAATACCTGTGTAAGGTTTCTTTACTATAGACAGCAGACTGCGTGTAGGTTTCGGGGTTGCTTTTTATTGTCATCAATAATCGAAAAGGGTTTCCTAACCTATAGTATTTTTTATTGAAGCTTTATTAGTATTAATTAATTCACATATAAAAAGTCGATGTATATTATGGTTTTATTTGTGGACTTAAACACACGAAAGAAAAAAATGGTGAAGCCATGCTGCTGAAAGTATGAGCTGGTTCTGATATAAATTTGCATTGTGAAGATTAAAGATATACAGATAATATTCAATGGGTTTTTATGGAGTGGGTGGAAAATTTTATATTTTTTCACAAGTGCACAAAACAATATTGTATTTTATTATATTCTATTTTATTACATTTCTTAAAACTTTCATAGGTACCAGTTTGAATTTGCCGCTTTGTTTGAAGTGTGTACTCTATAATAACAAATACAGATATTTAGTTTCAAATCAATGACACAGATCTTTAAATTATTTAACATAACATAAGTATAGCACACTGTAGTGATTGAATTCACCAGGATTAATACATTAAAGTAGAGTGAGACTGTCTTGATATTTCATAAGACTACATCTACCGGCGTTGTTGTTCCTAAGGTTTTAAATAAGAACTTACTTAGAGAAAATTGAGTTTCACTTTTCTCTGCAAATACTGTCATCTAATTGGTCAAAAGTATGTTAAAATATCAAAGCATGCAAGTTTTGTTGGGCCTGTATTTCACTGTAAAAGCTTATACCAAGATCTAATGATAGTTCTTGTGGCTTCAGCGCTTGTGTAACCTAATCAGAACTGTGCTCAAAAAACTGATCACCTAATCAGTGATTCAGATTAGCCCAGCTTTCTTTAGGACAGATGTCCTAAAGACTGAAATTTTCTAAGGCCATTTTGTCCGAAAGAACAAAAACATTTAGGCCACAGTCAAACGATAAACATTTATTTTTATGCACAAGACAGTCACAGTAGTAGAGTACATCAAGTTTGTTACATGTTGTACATAGCAGTATACAGGCAAGAAAAGGCTTTTTTCTCGTGAAAAAGCCTATAGCAGCATTTGAGCATAGTCACAGCTACACAGTCATTTAAATTGTTGTAACCATTTTTGCTGAAATTTTCTGGCTGTGGTGGTTTTATTTTCTTCTTGTTTGGTAATTATAATTGTTTCGTCCTGTTCTGGTGTTGGTCTAGAAACACCGCAAGAAAATAATGTTTTTGGCCCTTTTCAATGTACTTTCGTTTCTTTGGCGCCATGTTTTTATTTCAAGCGTCTGAGCGATAGAAACGTTCGGAATACCATTTGTCGTTTTCTTTAGAAACTACGTTGGAAGGGTTAGGCGAGGTGTTCCAAGTGAAAGATTAAGAAGCGCTTCCACGACATGCATTCAGAGAATAGATGGTCGAAATCCAGTCGAACTGTGTTCGTTAGGCCTTGAATGAGAGTATTTTGACAAACCGATTAATTGCTGAAATTTATTGTCAGATGTCTTATTCAATGGAAAATTTATCAGCCATTTAGTCTGAAAACCTGAAATACTACCGGCCTTTATGTCCCCAATTTATTTTTTTCGGCCATTTTCATTTTTTTTCGGCCATTGGCCGATGGCCGGGCCCAATCTGAAACACTGCTAATGCACAATATCACAGAGTAAATATGCAAATACAGTAGCTTTGCCCCAGCTACATGTAGCTGTAACATGTATTCAAGGTGTGACAAATTTCAAGGTGAAATATTTCTTCAAACATATTTTTTTTCAAGTTAATTTTGCCTATCATGAACATAATGTATGACACCAACCAATACATATTGCCAATGATAGCTAAAATGAAATTGAATAGTTGAGGACCAAAAATGCTAACATTTTTAACACTAAACATGATAATTATGTTGCGTCATCAGTAATCATCAATAGTTGACCAAGAACAATATCAATATCCCAACCCCACTATCCTACTGATTAAATGGCAAATATGAATAAGTGTTGTCTCATCAGGATGCAGCATCACAACTACAGTGGAATGTTTATATATGTCCTGTTTATCAATTCAACAGTCACCATTGTCACCTGTTGATGTCACACAGTGCAAGTTTTTTTTTATGATGTTTTTATGATATCTAAGAAGCATATCTGGGACCTTTGGGCTTGATTTGGTCTAAAACTCTTATGTACAATTAATTTTAATATTCTACCAATAAAAGTTGAACAACAGTCTATAGATCATCTTCTCTTTATGATTTTGACCCAATGCTTCCAGACCAAAAAGGATTAAAAATTACTTTTTTTTTTTTTTTAAACACATTAACACAAGTGAAAGTACTGTGATAGTTCAGTTGTTGAGTGTTGTGCCTAAGTAACATCAGGTGAAGATCCTGACTGTGTGGTTCCTTGTTCCTATTATTGGCAATTTGTGTTTCTCAAGAAACTGAGTAAGGCTGGTTAGTTCTGATTTATTGTGTTCTTTTTCAAGACATTTCACCCAAACTTCTTTGGCTTGAATTCAACAGGTCTCTTGTATGTTATTGGATGAAATAGCCACTAGCTGCTGTAAGGAGACCCAACCTCGGAATGATTTTAATATAAATATGTTTCATAGTTTCCCCAATTTCAGGAAATCCTACAAGCAAGTCATGTAAGATAAGGTGTTATGTTCAGTATCATAGTTTTACATTTTCATGTCTAGGCTGATTGGTTCAATAAATCATTACATATTCAGGCCAGCATGAGGATATGAAATCCCTATGTAAATAAAAGTGACTTGTTTGGATGTTTACATCCTGGAGATGTGTGTACCAGTTGTTTACCTGGTGCATATCTTTCTTTAGTTTGAGTGGTTTTGACGTCTGACCACCTATCTGTCATTAGCCCTACACCTCCGGTTTGCAGGTTTGAAGCCTGTATGTAGCAATTTCCAGGTACTAACCCATGCATTTTACATTAGGTCTCATCCACGCAGCATATTATATGTTGTAGATGACACATTGAACTGTATATTTTTGTTTTGTTTGTGTACTATATTTTGTTGGCTTGTATGGTGAACTGTATTTTGTTGGCTTGTATGGTGCAGTGTATGTTGTTGGCTTGTATGGTGTACTATATTTTGTTGGCTTGTATGGTGTACTATATTTTGTTGGCTTGTATGGTGCAGTGTATTTTGTTGGCTTGTATGGTGTACTGTATTTTGTTGGATTTGTATGCTGAACTGTATTTTGTTGGCTTGTATGGTGTACTGTATTTTGTTGGTTTGTATGGTGTACTGTATTTTGTTGGCTTGTATGGTGTACTATATTTCGTTGGCTTGTATGGTGCTGTTTATTTCGTTGGCTTGGTATAGTGAACTGTATTTTGTTGGCTTGGTATAGTGAACTGTATTTTGTTGGCTTGTATGGTGAACTGTATTTTGTTGGCTTGGTATGGTGAACTGTATTTTGTTGGCTTGGTAAGGTGCACTGTATTTTGTTGGCTAGGTATGGTGCATTACATTTTGTTTGTTTGTCATTTTTCCATAACAGCAATAAATGTGGACTGTCACAAGGTAATATCTTAGCATTCAGCATTATTCATATGCTACAGTGTCATACTGGATTAAATATTTATGGTAACGCCTCATTATATAGTGCTACACAAAAATACCAGCAGTAAGTAATACAAAATACAAGCATGTTTTTTTTTATGGTAAAATTGTCATGCATGAAGCTATGTGAACAACACCTGGGTCTGTTTCGTTAAAGGAATACCTTATTCATGTATAAGTTATAAATAACCTTGCAACACAATTGAGCTATATGACTGACTATAAAGCCAGAGTTATGAAGTCAACAGGGACGAAAAGTTGTACTGTCTGATCATGGTATGGAAGCAGATATTGAAATAGTCTTTGCTGTTTTGATTCAGTATTATGTTGATGTGAGGAGACTGGAGTAACCAACTGGTCAGTGGTTATCTTTGATATTATGGTAAATCTAAAAATAAATATTTAGGTCACTAGAAATAAAGAAATTTTCAATAATATTTTTCTCAGGGGTAATACATAGATATATAATCAAATATTCTTCATGGATGAAAGGCATTAAGGTTCTTTATCAAAATTTTCCCTGTGAGAAAGGGTAAAATCAATGGTAGGATTTTTTCAGAGGTATCATATCAAAATATAGTTGGGATTCTATGTTTGGGATGGTATTTTTATGGTATTCACAAATTGACCCTGATTAATACTCAGGAGCCGATGTGTATGCCAAAATGGGTCAAACTGATTGAAATCTCAAATCTTTTCATCTCGAACCCCAGATAGGAACACATGAAAACTTGCAGGACATTCTTTCTCATTATAAAATAAAGACGGGATTCACAAAGCAGAAATATTTAAATATTTAAGTTGACATTAAAATTTGCATCAATTTGGGTGGTGTGACATTACAATAAAACAGTTTCCATGGATGAAATTATCTTGGCGGTAATTTAGTAAATTTATTAGATATCATGAACCAAGTGGCTGGTATTTCTCTTTAGGGCAAAGAGATACATTTTTTATTACATTGTATACTGAAGTCATGTGTTAACTGACAAAAAGTGTTTTCATGACAAAAACTATGTTAAAAGTTATGTACTTTGTGTTAATGATCAAAATGAAATAGCGGCGTTTTCCTTCGAATTGGGAAAACTTGGGGTCTAAATTGGGAAAACTTGGGGTCTAAATTGGGGAAAACTTGGGGTCTAAATTGGGGAAACTTGGGGTCTAAATTGGGGAAAACTTGGGGTCTAAATTGGGGAAACTTGGGGTCTAAATTGGGGAAACTTGGGGTCTAAATTGGGGAAAACTTGGGGTCTAAATTGGGAAAACTTGGGGTCTAAATTGGGGAAACTTGGGGTCTAAATTGGGGAAAACTTGGGGTCTAAATTGGGGAAACTTGGGGTCTAAATTGGGGAAACTTGGGGTCTAAATTGGGGAAAACTTGGGGTCTAAATTGGGGAAAAAAAGATACTATTTTGCATTGGGAATGGGGCTGAATATCAGCACCAAATCTGGCAGATCGAGAGCCCTGATATTGCAGTACATGTTAAAAAAACCTATCTTGATAAAAAAAAAATTCTCTCCTTAACTTTAATGGCATTGTGATCTTAATTCTCTGTATTGGGCACACTGGAATCTGTGACATAATCTTAATCATTTGGTAGATTTATAATCAATTCAATTTATCTATTTTGCTGTCAAGGGTAGAGTCCTCCTCTCTGTTTTCATGTTTCACTATCATGTGACATGTTCAAATAATATTTCCAGTCTGTTAGATTATTAAAGCAGTCAAATATATATATGACAAGATTCAACACTTCACTGAGCGTAAAGCTTAAAATGGCATGAAATTAAATGAACATTTGTATTGATGATGAATTATGAACACACAAGATATTCAGTAACCTATTTTACTTATGTACATATGTACACATGTATTGTATCAATTTCAATAAAAAGACTTAACCATCTATTGTATTAATGAGATTTGTCGACATGAAATATTCCACTGAAACCAGACTTTACATGACAATCAGATCAGCAGTAGTGACAGACACAGCAACTATAGTATATTAACAAAATGTTTGGTGTAGGCACTCTTTGCAAACTTTTCATGAGCAATGTTATTATTTTGCAAATAGATTTATTTCAGGCATTTCAACACCCATCAGAAATAAAACATGCAAGAAAAAAAGACGAAATCTACCCATTTTGTTCCTTTAAACAGTTTTTATACTTCTTGTTTTTTGCAGTTTATGATAAAAAACAGATCAATGGATTTGAATGATGTGTTTCAAACCGATTCCTTTGGGTTGGATGGGATTGCAGGTTTGGCTCAGTTCCAGCATGATGGTTTACTTGATGTACCAAGCATCGGGGATATACCTGGATTAAATGGTAAGGAGGAAAAACTATCATTTTCTTTGATCCAGTATGAAACAGGAATAAATGCATGATTATATAGTTTTATGGCTTGTCCATGTATCACTACTGCACTTTTTTATTCTTTTTATTAAATTTTCTGTAACAGATGTTTCATTGCACGCGTTATCTAGGAAAGAAGTTATTTTCCTACGAGATGTCAGCTTAATTATCATATTATTATGTAAAAGTAGATCTAATATTGCGTGCAACAAATGTGTTGAACAAATCCAGTCTACTTTGCCAATATAATATGTCTCTTATTTACATTTAAAAATGTAATTTTGAATATCTGTTTACAGTGTAAAATATCTTTCTATACATACCATTTTTATGAGGGGAAGGAGGTTGTGGGGATGTGTTTTGTTATGATATTACCAACCCAGCCTATCAATTGTCACACCAGCTACTTCTTGATAGTTTTTGTCGTTGTTTATACAAATGTTGAATATGAAAATAACTTGGATCAGTTTGTGTTTCATGATTCGAAAGTAAAGTGCCATTAAAGTCTTGGCACAATTCTAATCATTTGTAGGGAATTGGGGGCATTTATGTCTTTGTCTTGTAGTTTGAGAAATAAACTTTTACATTTTTTATCTAACTAATGGCAAAATAATGTTTATTATCTATACATAACAAAGTCATTTCTGTTATCTTAAGGCATAGAAGCAACAAACTTGGGCAGTCTGCTGAAACAGTTTGAAGAAGGTAAGTTCAGACTTAATTTAATATACTGTAATATTAAATTCAAATTTTATTATTTAGGATGCAAGATTTCACAATGTGATTTACCAGTGGCAGATCGAATTGTGAGTTTCTAGAAGAAATTTTGTTCAGTCCAAGAATACAGTTGAAAAGTGGATGCAATCAACCTTGAAATATTCTGATATATATTTGGTATATTTTGCTCTGCTCATTGAGTTTTCTTGACACTTCTACCTCCAAGCCTCTCGACCTTCCAATTGTTACAGACTCATTAAATCCAGAGTTGTGATGTGCATGAATCGGGAGAGAAGTAAATATCTGCTCAGAGTGAACGAAAAATGTTTTATATTTCAGCTTCACAGTCCTTGGGTGACAATGATCCTACTCAACCAAGTCTAAACTTCAGCCCAAAATCTAGCCAAGCAAGGTACACAGTAGCCTTCTGTGGTGGCATATTTTTAATACACTGTCATTAATTTAAATAAAAAAAAATAAATGTTTGATGCCAAAATACTTCTCAAAATTGGTCTCACTCCATAAAATGTTGTTAGTAACTTCTAATTAAATGGTTTAATCCAAAAATATTGAAAATAAACCTTCAGAGGTGTACACTACAATCAGTACTAGTGCACTATCCAAAAACCAATAACTACAATGTATTATAAAATCTGATTCGTAGGTCGCTATATAATTGGCTAATTCATGGTCTGTTGAAAAAATCAAATATTTTTAAACTGGATTTAATTGCTTGTAATGCTAAAAAAAACTGTGTGTGCTAAATCATTATTGAACTAAATGGGTAGAGTTTAAAGGTACACAAGATAATTTGCATTCTAGAATATTCATCTGCATCTAACAAAATATATTTTTAACAAAAGTTTAAACCATGTTTGATTCATTCTTGAGACATGGCAAATATGTAGAGATGTTTTCACTTATTTTAGCAATAAAACTCCAAGTCAACCAGTTTCCAGTACGTCTACAGCAGAGGGACTGGAGTTCTTCACAAGTGAGTATCAATATTATTACAACTGAACTAGGAATGCTTATATGTAGGCAACGCTTCCCAACACACAGTTTAGATTCTGAATTTCACCTACAGGTTACCTTTAATTGACCTAATTGTACAATAAAAGTCTGTGCTGGGCTCAATTTCTCTCCGTCTGTATAAATACTTCCATAATCAGACCTGGTATATATTTATATCTGGGTAGGCCTATGTGCATTGCAAAAGGTCAGTGTTGGGGTCTGTATTGAGCTTAATTTCTCTCATTGTATGTATACTTACATCTAACCATGACTTTCCCAAAACATTTCAGATTTTGAATTTCACTCGCAATTTCCCATTAATTTGACTGTATTTTTGGATTAATTCTATGATGGACAATGTACAGGTGCTAGGCCAACCAAAGTTTGGATACTTGGATACTCCCAATTTAAAGTTAGTAAATCTTGGGACAAAAAGCATATTCAGTGATAGTGTAAAATGTTTCTTCTTCGTGTGATTTCCTTTCAAAAAACAAAAAAACTTTGGGAGGTTTTGGGAAATATACAGACCCATGCATGTTTGCTTTTATATCTTTGATACAAACACAACATGCAATACATTTGCTCCTAACCTAATGAATAAGTGGGGACATGTAAGACAGATAAATACATGAAATTCTTGTTCATTTTGCAGATGAAAATGATGAAAACTCTACACCTTCTAAACATGTCATTGATAAAATTCGTGCTGGAACAAAGAGAAAGTCAACCATTATGCTTCCGATGGGAATGCCTTCCAAAAGAGGCAGAGGGAGAGCAACAGCAATGCCCGCTAATTGTGCTCCTCTGAAACTGCAGCGATTTGTGAACATGCCTTCAGTCACACCAAAGTTACAAGGTTGCTCTGGGGACAACACTTCTGTCAAAGGTGTTTCCCTTCTCAATAATGCAAATACTGCTAAAATGACTAAGGAAGATAACTCTGGTGATAAAAAACCAATAGATACTAACCATGAAGCTGTGGTTAAGTCAAGTAAAGAGTTATCAAAGAAGGAAAATGATCAGTTAGAAAAAAAGAAGAAAGATGACAATTTATCAAAGAAGGAAGAAAACAAATTTGAAGTCAGCAATGATTACTTTGATGAGATCATTGATCATGACTACTGTGCAAATGTACCACTTAGGATTTTAGACAGTGAAATGAAGGATGAGGTTCCGATTGTAGCCGAAGAGATAGTGGTCTGTGATGAGGAGCGGGATGAAGATCTCGTCTCAAATACAGAGGTGATGGAGGAGGATATAGATGAACTACTAGAAAAAGATGTTGATGATGATCTCAAAAATAATTCCACATCAGTATCAAATGAGTCACGACGGAGTAAATGTTCTGCTTTTGTTGAAATTCTTAAGCGTGAAAACATTAGTAAGAGGAACTATCGCAAACACAACATGGATGTTGGAAGCATAGAGAGTAAAGAAGCAGAGGAAGAGAAATACTTTGATAAAATTCCAGCATACTACACAGCTCTGTCGATACCTAACAAGCCTGTAAAACAGGCAAAGGAGATCACATACAAACGCACTGCCTCAGGTCGTCGAGGTATTACTGTGGAGGATTACTTTGCCAGGAATCCTTCCCCAAAAAGAGACCCTTCTTTGTACAACAAGCTGCCAGCTTACTACAGTTGTTTTACAAACAGTACTAAGTATGATAATGCTGCTGGCATAGAGAAGGGAAATAACTCTGAATGTTCTCAAGACAGTAATAAAATGTGTAGTAGTGGCTATTCTAGTCGAAGTCAGACTCCGTCACTAGTCATAGACTCTCGTCGGTGTTCAAGGTCACCCTCGGTGGCTTCATCAAGATCTCGATCCTGCTCTCGCTCCCGCTCAAGGTCGTACTCAAGGTCGAGATCAAGAGAAACTGTTAGGACTGAAAGAAAGAGATCATGGAGGAGGGAAAGAAGGCGTTCATATTCATCTAATTCTGGGTCAAGTTCTAGGTCACCATCTTCATCAAGGTCATGGTCAAGGTTGGTACATTTTCTTGAAATTATACAGTGTCCACTATTCAATATTTTATGTTATTTAATGTTATTGTCCCTTTTCATACTAAAATGTATTATGCAGTTTATTATGAATTTCTGCCTGATTTCGTTTGTCTGTTTGTAAAAAAAGGCTACTATCTGTGTAATGTTGGAGTTAATGAAGCAACACTCTATATAACTACCTATTTACAGATCACCTTCTAGGTCACGTTCAAGGTCTTGGAGCTCCAGATCAAGATCTAGGTCAAGGTCAAGGTCCTTCCATGATGGATCAAGATCAAGGTCACACTCAGGAGAAAGAACACACAGGTACATAAAACAAAGTATTCCAAATGAATTTATAAAGTAAACTGTGTATTGTCTAAATGTATATGATCTGAAATTGGTTGTAGACTTTACATACCTGTGTTGATGCTCCATCTTCCCTTTATAATCATTCTGCTTATTGACAAATTTCCATCCATTCTCATGAACTGTTGCCAGATGGACACACATGATCATTATGGATGATTCAAAATTTTATTTTTGACAGCAGTAGGTTGAAGATAGTATTCTGATGGTCATCATGTCTCAAATCGATATCGTAACCTTTGCAACTTTATTAATGTAAAGTTCATTTTACAACAATTGTGAAACAGGCTATCAGCTTAAACTCATCACTCTTATCAGCCCAGATGGCAGTTCAAAAAAAATTAGAGTACCCAGGATAAACCCATGAGGTCGGGCAGGTGACCCCGTACCTTTTCGCATCCATTCCAGTAATCACACCCCAGACAACTAGGTGGAAGGCAAGTGTGTTGCCACTCGATCACCCAACTTAATTTCTTGTGGAAATTCCTTAATACTTAGATAAAAAAAAGTCAATAAAGAAGTGCTTTAGAGGAGTTCATGTTTCGGTGGCCCAAACTCAAAATCTCCATCACAAAACACAAAAAAAATTTCAACAGTTTGCTTGAAAATTACAGTACTGGCAATGTCTGAATAGGCAAGACATATATTTACACATGTTTTTATTGTGTCTAATAGGCAAGACATATATTTACACATGTTTTTATTATGTCTAATAGGTCAAACATATAACGGCTCATGCTTTTACCATCCCTGCAATTATGAATTAGAATTTCCATGCTTTTACTCAAGATGTCATACAATATTCTGATTAGTTGTTAACTGTACAGATTTTAAAGAAAGTGTCTGTTAACTGTACAGATTTTAAAGGAAGTGTCTGTTAACTGTACAGATGTGTCTGTTAACTGTACAGATTTTAAAGGAAGTGTCTGTTAACTGTACAGATTTTAAAAGAACTTACATTTAATTTTTTTAATTTTTGCAGAGGTGTAAGTCCTTCACAAATAAGAAGAAGAATGGAACAGAGAGAATTACGTGAAAAAGAGAAAAACAAACAGATGGTAAGCGATAACAATTCCTGTATCAAGGGAAGCAACTAGTAGGACTTCAAATTGTGAAAAAACTATTCTTTGGCAAAACCTTGTTTCTTGAAGGATGAAGTAGATATGCTTATTTTCCACTCAAAAATGTGTATGAATTTATTCTGTTATATTAACTTACAAGACTATACATGAATAGTATTCTATATGAAATTTCAGAATCATTCCTTGTCAGTATTTCAAAATTAAGATATTGAAAAAATGACATCATCAGACTAGAAAATATAGTTGAAAACTTTAATTGTACTTACTCATCTGAACTCTTCAATCTTGCAGGAGGAGCGACGAATCATCTATGTTGGCCGAATACCAAGTGATTATACAAGACGTGACATGAGAAGAAGGTTTCAGAGATTCGGGGAGATAGAACATGTACAGCTGCACTTCAGAGAGCATGGGTAGGCATATGTCTCTTGGAGATGACATAATTCATAGTTGAGAGGAAATGTAGATTGTAAAATTATTAAATTAGTAAAATGCAATTCAAATTGTTAGTTCTATAGCAAGTTTAATGATAATTAACAGTAAGTCTAATTACCAGCCTTTTCTTGAGAAAAATCAAATACTACATTATATACATATTTTGGTATCAGACTTCTTAAAATGTTTTTTTTTTTTTTAAGTGAATATTTGAATTTTTTTTTATTTTCAGTGATAATTATGGCTTTGTGACATTTTCCTACACCTGTGATGCCTATGCTGCGATAGAGAGTAAGTTTTATCAGATGATTGAAGTTATTTGCTCTGGTTTAAAACAGATTTTCTGTTAGAGTGGTGTCTAATTTAAATATCTTGGTAAATATTACTGACACTTGACGTGTATTGTGACTTTTGGTGACACAGATGAAAATAAGTTTGAATATAGACGTTTGTCACAGCTATGTCTATGATAAATTAAAAGAATTTCAACCACACTTTTGCTGAACACATGGTCAAATTTTAATTGATATGTATGTTGATAAATTAGCACAGATTCACAAAATTTCACATCTAGAGTAATATTTAGGAATTGCATTTAGAACAATAATATTTCATCACATCAGAAAAAAGGCATAGCTGAATTTCTTTTGTTTAAATAAGCATATTGTTACTGGTTTTAAAGGTTATTGTCAATAGATGTTGAATATGATTATCATATATGTTTAAAATATCTCTCCTTTGTGATATAATAACTGGTTTAACTGTATCAATGTTTTCTTTTAATTTCAGAAGGTAATGATTTTCAAGATGGCCCACCATTTGAGCTTTGCTTTGGTGGTCGTAGGAAGTTCTGTGAGACGGAATATGAAGATTTAGGTTTGTATATTTTTTAATAGCTATTTTCTTGGATTCTTAATATTAGCAGAAATTCTGATAGTAACCTGTTTCAATATGATATTGTCCATAAGTAAACACACACTGTGGTGCAACTTTCCATCATCAATATTTCAAGCAAAGTGCTGCTAATCTTGAATGGCTGCAGGGGTTTTGACTTAATTTGGTCACACGCTTTAAGTTGTTAGTGCAAGGAAACTTTTTGGTTACATAAATGGCAAGTGTGACGTTCTAGGGCACAAAAAAACAATGCCCAATATCTGGCAGTTAATGAAGCTGAATATTTCAACTTTTCCTTCAGTATACAGCTAACTTTGTGTAGTGGATAATACCTTTCATATTTACTGAACGTAGAGGGTTTGGTCATCCCCTTTGCCAAGGGAGCTGCCATTTTATACATGTATTCCTATTCGAGAAATGTTTGTTATTCAGGGATTTCAATTTGATTCAATCTGATCATAACAAGGTGAACCTGATGACAAATAAACATTAATTGTCTCATTTAGGATTAAAGGAAAGGAAACTAGTGAAAGAGATGTAAAGATTTTTTTTTACATATATCAAGACTATTCTTCCTTGTACATCTCTTACAAATTGTATAGGTACCAGGTACATTTATAAATTATTGATATCACATAACTGTATTCTTTAATTTTAAATTGTCATGCAACACATGGATTGCTGTTTGAATAGATACAAGTCATTTTTAGCCCACCATCATCAGAGCTATTGCATATTTCATTCACATTTCATAATAATGTTGTTGTATAAGATGTTTTATTTTATTGATGCAGATGGAGATATTGAATTGATGGAGGAATTAAATCCACTACAGAGTCTGAATTCAAATAAACCTCTGGACTTTGATCAGCTTCTTCAACAAGCTAAGAAGAAAATTGGAAAATCCTCTTGATATTGGACATGTTAGGACTGACAACTGGTGATGAATGATGGTTAATCCTGTATGATGTTGGAGAATGTCGAAATTGTTGATGTTAATGAATGGTGATGGAAGAAAACATGATTGGTGATTTCTGATAGTTTTTATGTGATTCTGATTTCTGATATTGTGATAGTACACAGTAACTTCTACGTAATGAGATTGAATTGAATTTTTTGTGAAAACATGTTCCGGTGAATAAGTTTTGGTTAATGAATCAGGAAAATAAGATTTGTGAATATCAAGTGTTTGACTGTGTGTACAAGAGAAATGTTTGCCATCTTTAATGACCAAATCACCAAGAATCAACATTTTATAGTTTAATGTATGTAGCAGTTCATCTTCTGGGGTTCAGGATACCTTGTTACATTCTGTGTTCTCCATTGTGGTGTTTTGAGTCCTCTTTCAAAAGAAGCAGGCCAAAAAAAAATATTGACAACCAGCTGTAGACAATAGCTTCTTGGGTTGATGTTAAATGGAATCTTTTCATAACAAATTATAGTTCTTAAGGATTTTGCAGGGATGTAAAAGGGGAGGGGGAAGTGGTGAGGATGTTGTGTTGTAGGGATGTAGTGGGGGAGGGGGAAGTGGTGAGGATGTTGTGTTGTAGGGATGTAGTGGGGGAGGGGGAAGTGGTGAGGAGTGTTGTAGGGATGGGAAGTGGTGGGAGGATGGTGAGGATGTGTTGTAGGGATGTATGTTGTGTTGGGGATGTAGGGGGAAGTGGTGAGGATGTTGTGTGATGTTGTGTTGTATGTAGGGAGGGGGAAGTGGTGAGGATGTTGTGTTGTAGGGATGTAGTGGGGGAGGGGGAAGTGGGGGAAGTGGTGAGGATGTTGTGTTGTAGGGATGTAGGATGGGGGAGTGGTGAGGATGTTGTGTTGTAGTGGTGAGGATGTTGTGTTGTAGGGATGTAGTGTGGTGAGGATGTTGTGTTGTAGGGATGTAGTGGGGGAGTTGGGGAGGGTGAGGATGTGTTGTGTAGTGGGGGAGGGGGAAGTGGTGAGGATGTTGTGTTGTAGGGATGTAGTGGGGAGGGGGAATGTAGGGGGGAGGGGGAAGTGGTGAGGATGTTGTGTTGTAGGGATGTAGTGGGGGAGGGGGAAGTGGTGAGGATGTTGTGTTGTAGGGATGTAGTGGGGGAGGGGGAAGTGGTGAGGATGTTGTGTTGTAGGGATGTAGTGGGGGAGGGGGAAGTGGTGAGGATGTTGTGTTGTAGGGATGTAATGGGGGAGAGGGAAGTGGTGAGGATGTTGTGTTGTAGGGATGTAATGGGGGAGGGGGAAGTGGTGAGGATGTTGTGTTGTAGGGATGTAGTGGGGGAGGGGGAAGTGGTGAGGATGTTGTGTTGTAGGGATGTAGTGGGGGAGGGGGAAGTGGTGAGGATGTTGTGTTGTAGGGATGTAATGGGGAGAGGGAAGTGGTGAGGATGTTGTGTTGTAGGGATGTAATAGGGAGAGGGAAGTGGTGAGGATGTTGTGTTATAGGGATGTAATGGGGGAGGGAGAAGTGGTGAGGATGTTGTGTTGTAGGGATGTAATGGGGAGAGGGAAGTGGTGAGGATGTTGTGTTGTAGGGATGTAATGGGGGAGGGGGAAGTGGTGAGGATGAAATGTTGTAGGGATGTAATGGGGGAGAGGGAATTGGTGAGGATGTTATGTTGTATTGATGTAATGGGGGAGAGGGAAGTGGTGAGGATGTTGTGTTGTAGGGATGTACTGGGGGAGGGGGAAGTGGTGAGGATGAAATGTTGTAGGGATGTAATGGGGGAGAGGGAATTGGTGAGGATGTTATGTTGTATTGATGTAATGGGGGAGAGGGAATTGGTGAGGATGTTATGTTGTATTGATGTAATAGGGGAGGGGAAGTGGTGAGGATGTTGTGTAGATGGCTGTGGTGGGAAGCGGGAAGTGATAAGGACATCGTGTTGTGGGACTGTGGTGGGGAGGGTGAAGTGATGAGGATATTGTTTTGTGGGACTGTGGTGGGTGAACATTGTGAAGAAAAGATGGGATGGAATGGGAAGGGATAAGTGATTGAGGATGTTGTGTTTCCACAAAATATTTCTTGTTTTCTTGGACTACCTGAACACAAGTTTCAGATCATGCTTCCTTAAGGAACATTCAGTGTAATCAGTGTTATACGAACGAATAGAATTTTCTTGTGTGTCCAACTCACCTTACTATAAAAGTTTTGCCCTCGAGTGGTGCATTAACTGATATTCGATGTTATGATGACATTAAATTCCAGACCTACAAACAAAAGGATGTGACATTTACTTATAGGGTATTGCTAGACAAGATGTGTTCTCTTTTTTACTTTTTACTCTTTTTTTTTTTGTTATTTTTTTTTTCTTTTTTTTTTCTTTTTCTTTTTTTTTCTCCTTCACAATAATGTAACCTCACATTATACATATTTTATGTGAGAGCACCTTAGAATTTAGGTATCAGCAGTACTTTCAATTTTTTCATTGTTGATCATATGTATTGCATAATTTCAAATAAATATATATGCAGTTCGGATTGGAAACTAGAATGCAGTTGTGTGTCAGGACAAAAATTGATCTCATTCAATTAATTATATAACATTACCATATGATTATTTTACATGCAGGTTTATCTGACCAGGAAACCAGCCCAAGGTCACTTGTTTCATCTTTGATTCTGTACAACAATGATTCTTTTCCTGGTATTTTATAGGAGTGATCTCCCCTGAATTCAGCTGTATTGGTGTAACCAAGAATGTCTTTGCTAACTTTGAGGTCTTTTGTTACCAGTATATCTAGATTATCCTGAAAATTGGTTTAATCAAAAGTTCTATATTACAATTTGTAATTTGTTTTCAAATTTCACAGATTTTATTTAACGTTACAGGATACGTTTTTGTAATGATAGCAGTCTTTGTGTTTATCCAGTACAGTGTGTCCCCATGTATCTATTGATAAATACTTTGTGTCCCTCTCTAGTTCTTCAGACATTTTATCAAGTTTTTTTCTTTGATTCCCTCAATTAATTTTATATACTCTAAAGGTATTTGGGTTTTTTTTCAGTGATTGTAATTTCTGTGTACAATTTTCACAGAAACCAAACTCTGTGTATCTTATTTTCATGCCATGCATTTTTCATGGTTTAATTTAATCCATGAGAAAAGATAATAGCAAACCCATAAAACTAATGGATATTAGGCTCATTCTTAAGTCAAACTTCTATGAATCAACTTCAGTGATACAATTTTCTCAATGTGTTAATTTTTTTTGTCCAGTCCAGAATATTATTCTATACCTACCACTTTATGAATTGAAGTTCTATAAACCAAACTTTTCAACATATCAAAGTTTTTTGGTAGATTGTTAATTGTCATAACACTCCTTGAAACTTTAACATTTAGGTGTATTGTACAGATATTTTGGCCCTGTCGCAGAATTTCACACATTTTCATAAAGGCACTACCTGGCAAGGTATTATGTTGTTTACACTTAATTATAATGTTGGTTAATGACACACCGTAACATAATTACATTTACTCAACATGAAAATGGATATTTCAATATAACCCATGACGAATGGTGCAAAATCTTCATGTATCAAACATTTGTTGTCAGTCCCTTGGACAGCTTGACTGTAGAATACACCATGTCATATAGAAAATAAGAATATTTACATACATACTGGTATACACTGTGTTATATAGAGAATTCACACCCACTTTTGTGCCAAGCTTTTATAGAAGTGCAAAAAAAAATTGTTAATTTTGCTACAATTGCAGGTATTTGTATTATATAATATTATACAGATCAGCAGGTGTTAATTACTGAAACTCCAGTAAAAACAATCAGAGTGAAAATTTGCATGATGCATTAGACGATGAATGGCCATTTATGATTTTATTTGTGCCTGGTTTCCTTGAATTAGCACAAAATGGCTATTTTATACAATATGAATCATATTAATTGATAATTAGATTTGAAGTCTAAGCAGAATTGTCTGCCCTTGGTTTTTTCATCAAGTACAAATTTAAGAGAAATGATAGATTTACCTATAGGTGCTTATGTTTTAATACATTTCATTTTCAAAGCTATATGATTAAGTACCAATGTTATTGTATTGAACCTTGTGTCCTGTCCCTTGTTAAGTATTGTCTTTGATACAGATGTTATAAACTGACCTATACCTAGTGGGCTTGGTGAATGTTTTTTGAACTGTTTAATTCAGTGTTAATGTGTGAATCATGTGTTAGGTTGTTTTAGACATTGGTTTTTATGTTTAATCCGAATGTCTTGGTACTCAAACTGCCATTAATTCTGTTACTTGTTTTGAAATATTTTACATTTGTAATTTTTGACCTCTTTTGACGTTTGAGAGCTCTATCAGTATATATTAGAAAATCTTGTTCTACAAGAAAGGAAACAAAAATCAGTTATTTTTTGCCAACATGTGCAATATATAAAACATTACTGGTCATAAATAACAGCTTGAGAGATCAGTTGTTGCTCGTATCCATTGTAAGCTGTTGTTGACTAATAAAGCTTATTACTTGTCATTAGAACGGATGTGTTAGTTTTCGTACTGCAGAGTTACATTGCATTTATAAACATTTTACCCATCACATTGCTACCTTCAAACTTACTATCTCCATTTATAGTTTCTATTTAATATTGAAAGTTATTATCTTTAAAGTTGCTTTGATTGTATACTTTGTATGAAATAAATGAGTTTGGAAAAGAATTTCTTTCTTTCTTTATTAAAACTGCTATTGATTCATCTGAATCTGCATTTTCAGGGGCTCACCAGCTGTTGGTTCATTAGCATCTGTCTTTAGGGGTCACTAATTGTTATGTCAGAACCTGCATTTAGGGGTTCACCAGCTGTAGATATGTCAGAACCTGCCTTTTAGGAGCTCACTATGTCAGAACCTGCTTTTTAGGAGCTCACCAGCCGTAGACATGTCAGAACCTGCCTTTTAGGAGCTCACCAGCCGTAGACATGTCAGAACCTGCCTTTTAGGAGCTCACCGGCTGTTGATTCATTAGCATCTGTCTTTAGGGGTCACTAATTGTTATGTCAGAACCTGCAATTAGGTGTTCACCAGCTGTAAATATGTCCGAACCTGCCTTTTAGCTCACCAGCTGTAGATACGTCAGAACCTGCCTTTTAGCTCACCAGCTGTAGATATGTCAGAACCTGCCTTTTAGCTCACCAGCTGTAGACATATCAGAACCTGCCTTTTAGGAGCTCACCAGCTGTTGATTCATTAGCATCTGTCTTTAGGGGTCACTAATTGTTATGTCAGAACCTGCATTTAGGGGTTCACCAGCTGTAAATATGTCAGAACCTGCCTTTTAGCTCACCAGCTGTAGATATGTCAGAACCTGCCTTTTAGCTCACCAGCTGTAGATATGTCAGAACCTGCCTTTTAGCTCACCAGCTGTAGATATGTCAGAACCTGCCTTTTAGCTCACCAGCTGTAGAACCTGCCTTTTTGAGGGGAGGGGAATTAATCAGAACCTGCATTTCATGAGTCAGCATATGTGATTCAATTTAAAGACACGTGATGTTTACAGTAGAACCTCTCTATCATATATACTGGAATCCGATTTTGGAGGCCACCAAATGTCTTCAGCACAGTATCCCTATATAATCCTTTACCTGCTGTAAATGGATCAATATAAGAAAAAGAACGGGAAAAGCGCTACCCCAGGAGGATTTTTAATATTGCACAGGATCCATAAAGTAATTCAGATGGCGTGAAAACGCTCACTTGACAATTATATGTACATATCAAAAGTCGTCTTATCCGGATACTATTTGAAACTTCTTCATCCTGTTTGATTAGCGCGAGTAGTGAAGGAATGATGTCACTTCGTAAACATTGGAGTTATTGGTACAGTAATAACATGCACTGATGTAGTAACTGTTAGAAATACTAAAACTTGGACATGATGCACTCTTAATTTTACTACTTGCACATCTCACAGAGACTGCAGACATACATTTATCACAATGCATATTGAGACAGGAAACACTCCGGATTAAAGACATACTTGCATGGTTTTGATCCTATTCGATCGGCCTCGACCCTATTCGACTTGACCTTGCACGAAACTTACAGCCAAGTAAACCACGGTGCCGAGAAGCGAGGTACCTAACACGAACCCTACAATGTACAATACGGTAGCAATGCGACCGAATTTCCTCGCGCTATCATCGTGACCTGTCTTGTACTCAAGGTCGCCCTTCGTCATCAGGTGCACGCCGGGAAGACAACAGAGGAGGTAGAAGAAGAAAAAGCAAGGACAGTGTAGGGCGCTGTGGATCATGTGATTTATCTTGTTATGAGGATTTGGTTTGACCATGTAATCTTTCTGCAGGACCGGCTCTTCGTGCGACATGTTGTAAAAGAAGTAGCGTAACGGGTCATGTGACAACTGCTGTCGCCTGTTTTGTAGGTACTCGAGTCTCTGGCGGTTACTCTGGTCGTGTTTAAACGCCATTCGCTGTGATTGAGCAACATCACGTGGTATCCTTAGACTTCCTGGACAACTGAGCGCCTTCCGCTCGCTCGGCCATCTTGTCTGAACGTCCTCCCACTCCTCTCCAATGAACAAGTTGAGCTGTCGCGTGAAAACCCCGGGAGAAGAGACCTTTGGTGTCCTTGCAGACAGATCGGACGTTGGAGATTGAGGAACAATGGCCGCTGCTCCCGGAGTTCCGGGTATCTCCCCTCCTTGAGCTAAATTCTCGTCTTCAATTTTACTTACAGCATAAGCCTGCGCATACGGATTATGGTAGGCCGAATCTATGGCGGACTGACTTATATCTATTGTCAAACCAAGGGTATTGGACACAGCATATGGTTGGACAGTTTCTACAGATGATTTCGTGTCGACACTGGATGTCCCTCCGCTAGACTCGGAAGTTGTGTCAGACACAATGCTTGGTGGAACATACCGGAAGTAGGTTTTCATAGTCACCTCAGACGATCCTGCCAGACTGCTTTCGAGGTCCGTGTCGGAGAATCCCGCGTGATCTATCCCAGTTCTGCCAGTGCCGAGGCTTGACGACGCCTCCTCGTTTGACACATGCGACTCCGTGGCGGACGTGTATGTTGAGTCATCTGACTGGACCCCGATAGACCGAGGTCTGATTGACGTTTTCAGTGTAATTTCGGACGAACCGGGAAGACTGCTCTCCACATCTTGCTCTGTAAAAGCAGCGTTGTCCATGGTACTGATTCTGTAGTGTATAAATAAGAATCAGAATAAATGAAACTGATTTCACATTGATGTCCAGACATATATATTTTATACAGCATTCTCTGAAATAGTTCGACTTAATGTTCGATATGTTTGATTGGTACTCTGTCCGCTACTTTTTATGCGTTCAAGCTTTAATTACGTATGTGGAATTGTATGTGATATCCGCAGTTATACTCAATGTGACGTGATCTAAGAGGAAACAAGTTCAATTTGTTTTTTCGTTTACAAAGTTTATCACCCCGTGAACAGTTAGTGTCTTTGAAATGTGGGCCCCTTGTTGTAGTTGGAATTCAACTCTTTGAACACAATGTTGAAGGTCCATCGCGTGTTATCCAGATCAATTAGAGTGAAGTATGTAGATCAAGAACGGGACGGTCTGTGATCTCCATTTCGTAAGAAACACAAATCGCCCTAGACATGTATTGCACTTGTTTACAAAAGCTTAATATGACCGCAGACTCTTGTTTTCGTTTTTTCTTTTTTCGGAATAGCTGTCGCGAAAAATTAATATTCAATAGATATGAACAAACTTTTAATCGAAAAAGTACAAACAGTTACCGATGTTGTTTGGTTTTATGTACAAAATTTACCGCACCCTTCAACGTGATAATAAACAAATCGCGAGTAGTTTGAAAACTAGGGAGAACCCGGATGCAAATTTTCCATTGAACATGACATTGAAATGTTATTATTTTGATACATGTGAAATTAAAATGACTCCGTGTAAGCAATTGTCAAGATATTGTGAAATGAACTATAGAACTATCGAGATGGGAATTTTCCCACACTAGCCATCGCCAGAGTCTGCTGTAGTTGGGTAACCAGAAATAGGTGACCGATTGATATTTGAGACTTTGCGATTCTCCGTCCGAAGTATCTATGTCCTAGGGACTGTATTGATTCACAGTTATACAATATATGTATGTTGTAGAGGTTCGTTTGTTTATAGTGGTTCGGCGGTCATCAGGGTCACAAATGTATATATACATTTTTCACCTGTTGTTTTCATACCAAACCGAATAAAATCATCTAAAGGTACAAAAAAGGTACCTCTCGCACAAAGCCTTTCCCTTTTTATTCTAAATTGATTTAGACTAATAGTTAATAAATAAACTAAGCAAAAACAACTTCTAATTATGATACCTGACTGAGTGTCGAATCCCCCGGCTCTAAACCATGGAGGTTTGTTTGACGGCTGAATGTCCTCCTTTTCTCTAACTTGAAAATCGTCACGATACTTAGAGGATTAATGATACAACATTGGCTTTTTGTTTTACCACGTGGAAATCACCTCGATTACATTTGAGTTAGTATGAAACATCTTAACGCCTTCATTAACGAATGGAAAATGCTAATTGAGTACAGGTGAATACAGTGATATAGATACCTGACAGTAATTGTTGTCAAACGTTGTCTCGTTGTCGATGTTGTTATTATATTACGATGAAATGTCGACAGGACAAGATAGGCTCATTGTGACAAAATGGCGGAGAAGATTCTGTTTTTAATAAAGCTATTTCTAAAACAAAGGGCGAGAATTCAGCGAGACGTGTTTGGTGATTACACACCTGAGCGCACCTGTGCTTCTGTCACGCCCATCTGTCATCTTTATGTAGGTGTCATTTGTACAGTTGTAAATGTCAAGAGCATTACACAAAAACACAAAGTTAAACAGACTGTGGGCGATATATCGCCTTGTTTACGTGCGCGTGTTTGCTTCGAATACTAGTTCTATTGAAAAGTAGATTTGAAAAACACAGAAAATAAAGTAAATATTTTTATATTGTAACATAGTTTTCGTTGTTCGGCATTAAGTGGACATACACCAAACCAGCAGTTGTTACCGTTAATTATTAAGGTAATTCATGAACTGTTGTTCGTTCCTCTAAATTGTCGGCGAGTTTAAATGTTTCTTCAAACACTTCTCAGATGGTCGATGAAAATAACATCGACGTTACCATTTTAGTCTTAAATCCTTATGAAATTACTCCATGTATATAAAGTCAGTCTATGGAATTTGTTGTCGCTGTTGATCAGTTTTAGTTTGTTTTAACGGTGTTTTGCTTTACAGTAGCCTGACGTTCTCTAAATTAGACAGTTTATAATATTTACTGTAATATATAGCGATTGTTATATATTCTTATCGACAAAATGTCAGACCTTTGTGGTGTTAAATACCTGCGATGCTTTCGACGGCTACAACAGTGCGATTCTTTTCATTAAGTAAGAATTACCTCCCTTCCATTGATGAATTGGAGGGAAAAAGACATGGCCAATATCATTGGATAAGTTATCACAATTTTAGATATATATTGTGAAAACTATGGAATTTCAAATGAAACGCACAATATTACGCCTAAAGTCTGATTGAAAAGGTATTTAATCGGCGCGTTCGTCATTAGTTAAGACTTTCCCCCTTCAATGATAAATTGAAAAGCGACATCCCGATAGCCAAAAGCACTGGGTAAGTTATCACTATTTTGTGCAGTTAGAGCGATTTTCGATATATGTCGTGAAAACTATGAACTTATAATAACATGCACAATAATCTGCTTAAATTCAAACTGAAAAGATATTTATTTGTTTCGTTTTTGCTGTAAAAAAAAGAAAAAGAAACAAAACACCACAAACACACACACACACCAAATAAAATATGTAAACTAACAACATTAACAAATCAAAGAATAAATCGATCCATTAGTCAATGATTTGAACGAAAATATCGTGTTCTATACAAATATGATAAACATAAAACACATACTAGTATAGTCAAACCGGAAGTAATTAACGAGTCATGTTATAATAATAGACAGGAATAAGATCATTGTTTCTTTTTGGTAAATATCGCGAGGCCATGATAAATATTGTAGTACAATAAGATATGCATTTTGGTTAAAATGGTTAATTCACGTATAAGAATAAAAAACATACATTTAAACGCAGAGAAAAGAACAATTAAAAACCGTACATGTTTATAATTGTGCTAGCAGAAATCAATAACGACACCGGTACAATATAGGCACGTGGGTGAGACGTTGTGGATGAATCTGCAAACGTTGAGTTATCTTCGATACTCCAGGGGATATGATCACTTTCGTTCTCTCATCCCCTGGAACATGTCATAGCAAAATTGAAGGAGCAACCGGAGTAATTTGATTGGTTACAGGAGAAAAAAATTGACCAATCACAGACTGATTAGAGATTGCAATATATCGTTAAACGACATCAAGATTCGTTTATTGTACAACAAATGATCAAACTAGTCTTTTCGTCTTCCCTAAAAGGTGTCGCACATCAACCCTTCCCAAGACATGTTCCAGGGATGCACAGTGCGAAAGTGATCGTAACCCAATGAGTATAGAGGACGAAGTCCTATAGGTTGGCACAGTCATATATGGTGACACAGTCGTGTATAAGGTGACAAAGTTCTGTATAAGGTGACACAGTCTTGTATAAGGCGACAAAGTCCTGTAAAAGGTGACAGAGTCTTGTATAAGGTGACACAATCCTGTTGGAAGTAACACAGTCCTGTATAAGGTGACACAGTCCTGTATAAAGTAACACAGTCCTGTATAAGGTGACACAGTCACGTATAAAGTGACACATCCCTGTATAATGTGATACAGGCCTGTATAAGGTGGCATAGTCTGTATAAGGTGAAACAATCCTGTATAAGGTGACACAGCCCTGTATAAGGTGACACAGTCCTCTTTAAGGTGAAACAGTCCTGTATAAGGCGACACAGTCCTGTATAAGGTGACACAGTCATGTATAAGGTGACACATCCTTGTATAATGTGACACAGGCCTGTATAAGGTGGCATAGTCCTGTATAAGGTGAAACAATCCTGTATAAGGTGACACATCCCTGTATAAGGTGACACAGTCCTCTTTAAGGTGAAACAGTCCTGTATAAGGCGACACAGTCCTGTATAATGTGACACGGTCTTGTATAATGTGACACAGGCCTGTATAAGGTGGCATAGTCCTGTATAAGGTGAAACAATCCTGTATAAGGTGACACATCCCTGTATAAGGTGACACAGTCCTCTTTAAGGTGAAACAGTCCTGTATAAGGCGACACAGTCCTGTATAATGTGACACGGTCTTGTATAATGTGACAGTCCTGTTCAATGTGACACAGTCCTGTTTAAGGCGACACAGTCCTGTATAATGTGACACATCCCTGTACAAGAAGACACATCCTGTATAAGGTGACACATCCCTGTATAATGTGACACAGCCCTGTATAAGGTGACACAGACCTGCATAAGGTGAAACAATCCTGTATAAGGTGACACAGCCCTGTATAAGGTGACACATCCCTGTATAATGTGACAGCCCTGTATAAGGTGACATAGTTCTATATAAGGCAACACAGTCCTGTATAAGGTGACACAGTCCTGTATAATGTGACACAGCCCTGTATAAGGTGTCATAATTCTATATAAGGCAACACAGTCCTGTATAAGGTGACACAGTCCTGTATAAGGTGGCACAGTCCAGTATAAGGTGACACATCCCTGTATAATGTGACACAGCCCTGTATAAGGTGACACAGTCCTGTTTGAGGTGAAACAGTCATGTATAAGGTGGCACAGTCCAGTATAAGGTGGCATAGTCCTCTTTAAGGTGAACCAGTCCTGTATAAGGTGACATAGTTCTATATAAGGCGACACAGTCCTGTATAATGTGACACAGTCCTGTATAATGTGACACAGCCCTGTATAAGGTGTCATAATTCTATATAAGGCAACACAGTCCTGTATAAGGTGACACAGTCCTGTATAAGGTGGCACAGTCCAGTATAAGGTGACACATCCCTGTATAATGTGACACAGCCCTGTATAAGGTGACACAGTCCTGTTTGAGGTGAAACAGTCATGTATAAGGTGGCACAGTCCAGTATAAGGTGGCATAGTCCTCTTTAAGGTGAACCAGTCCTGTATAAGGTGACACAGTCCTGTA